TTTATTAGGAATACACTAATTTATATTTTCTAAATTATAAAACGAGGTTGTTTCATTTTTCAAATTAATTTCTGAACGAAACGCACGGCCATTAAAATTGTCTACTATGTTAAATACAAAATCATTTAAATTAATTATTGTAATAGAAAGATTCATAAAGCGTTGTCATTATAATTTATTATATGAACATATAAACCACTCCTGTCATTCTTTATTCGTGCCCAATTCGGCGGGATATTCAAAATCCCTAATAACGCTCGGGCTTATGGTCCAAGGAAAGATCACGCCACGAAAACGTCGACTTAATATTCTATTTCATTCTCTATTATAATTGTATATAAAAATCAAGGCTCACCAAGAAATGACGAGTAACAGGCGAGAAGAACAGCAGCTGGGTCTTTTCTCAAAGACAGCAGCAATATTCGTGATTAAACAGGAAGTATCCACTATGAAACAACAGTCACAAGCCGTGTTCGCAGATTGTTCTACTACTACGTGCAATAATTTCCGCGATTCGTTTCTCGGACTACGTGTACAGATACATTTCTTCGCATGTGTTTATTGTCACGCGCACGTACGAAGATTAGAGAGATGTTTTACGATCACGAAGGAAATGTCACCGAAGTTAAAAAAACATTCCAGGATAATTAATTCGAAAGGTACAGAGAAACGAACCCAACACGTCGGCAAGCGAAGCGGTACTGCGAGGCTCGCGACGACCCGGCACCCCCCACCACCATCGACCCAGAGCGCAACGACCAATCAGAGACACGGATTCTCAGCCGTTTAAACTACTTCCGTTGGAACCACGGGCGACCGATGTCAGTATCGCGAAGGGGTGGAAAGGACTGACGCCACTTTTGGCGGTCTCACGTGTTGCTTCGCTGTAAACACCGATGATGGGAATTTCATCGAATTACGCAAAATGTGCCGACAATTTTCCAGCCCCTGATGTGCGGAAAATTGACGATTAAATACATTGTCGTGTCGTTAAATATTTATGTTTCAGCCGTCGATTATTATAACAGAATATGCGTTCATTTTTCTATACTTTTTTGCATTAAACTACGTTAATTATTATCAATCAACCCATCCAAATAAAATATCATAAACAAAATTATTTTATTCACGTCTGCATATTAATTTCGATAATTTAATACGGCGAAATGATTAAAGTGCTTGCTCGCGCACTTCGCTTACGAATGATCGATAATTTGAATAAAATTCACCGTCTGAAGGACCTTCCCCTGTCATTGCCATTGGGGATGCTTCTCGTGGACCCCATTTCATGGATATATCGCGAGAGAGAGAAAAAAAAAAAGAGGATTTGGGTGGCGGCACGACATTTCAGTGATGGATATCCAGTGTGACACAGGCAACGCAAAACGACGATATTATTCACAGAATATAGAGGGTGTTTGAAAAAAAAAAAAAGAATTCTGAATTTTAAGGCTGATTCTTGACTGAGGAATGTCATAGAGGAAAGGTTAAACCAAGAGCATAACTTGCTCGCTTCTGAAACAATGGATTATCTGTCCTCTCCGTTTATACACATCCTTTATAACACAGGATTATTATGACGCCTCTCCAGACAATTGTTGTCTACATATCCTGTGTAAATAGTCACACAGAGCTTCCACAAAGTTTCTACAATAAGAATAACTCATGCGTCGGTGAAATAACCGAAACACAATGAAACCCTAAAATGTCGTGTTACAACAACAAACTGATTCAGTTGTAATCGTAAAATTATTATTTCTATAATAAGAATAACTCGCGTCGGTGAAATAACCGAAACACAATGAAACCCTAAAATGTCGTGTTACAACAACAAACTGATTCAGTTGTAATCGCAAAATTATTATTTCTACAATAAGAATAACTCACGTGTTGGTGAAATAACCGAAACACATTGATACCCTAAAATGTCGTATTACAACAACAAACTGATTCAGTTGTAATCGTAAAATTATTATTTCTACAATAAGAATAACTCACGCGTCGGTGAAATAACCGAAACACAATGAAACCCTAAAATGTCGTGTTACAACAACAAACTGATTCAGTTGTAATCGTAAAATTATTATAGCTTCGAAAATATTCACAATATTATTATAATTAAAATACATAATTTTAATAAAGTAAAACACTTGTTCATTTAACGAAGGGAAATTTATCGTCACACTAGTTCAAAGTAAGAGTAGGATTTATACAAGATAAAACCTTCTTTAAAAGTACTTTAATCCTCGTAATCTCAGATATATTACACGAGTCGAGATAGTTTTAACGAAGAATCTCATGATCTCTTGCCATGGGAAGGATGTTATGAACAAAGTTGTCTAGTCAAATGACTTTACTTTCGTCAAAGGATTACACTTTTCAATTTCTTGCATAATAAACGCGATGTTCGTGTAACAGTTCAAAGAATTATACTCCACCTCCGTAAAGAAAGTAGACTGTTAAATGAAAAAATTTATTCAAATTGTGTATCCTTTAATTTTATCGGTGAAGAATATTACTCTTATTTTTCTGGTAATCACCGAAGATCGATTTTTCACGCGCAAACAGTAACCATGCTACTTAAACCATAATTGATTCTATCTCCAAAGAGATTAAGTGGCATTGGATTATCGCTCGGGTTCTTATCCTGATAGTGAAATACGATAAAACCTCGATCCTTCGAGCATTAATTACGTTCCAAGATTTCTTTCCCCCTTGTTGTACCAGCTAATTCCCTTTCTCCTACGAAATCAATGTTCAGTAATTAACAGAACGACTCCCATGTCACCCATATATGACGCTTCGATATCCACAGGAATCAATATTACCAGAAATTGAAATATTTTTAGAAAATAGAAGGTACCTCCCAAGATTCTCTCAATTAATTATATTTATTTCAAAGAAAAATTATCGCGACGAGATAATTTTCACCGTTCCGAATTAACACGGTTTTAATGATTTAATTAAAGCAAATAATCAGAGAGCGGAAGCTATGATAATAACGGTGCCGGTTCCTGAAACAATTTCAGCGAACGATTAAGTGAAATTGCAAATTGATATTCACGTTTTCAAGAAGTGAAATCATCAGCACAATGCTGGGAAAGTTGAAGACTTAGTTGAAGAACATACTGAGAACGTTCAAGGGAGAGCAATAACACTTGTCCCTTGTAGACCTGAAATCGATTGCTCTGCGGCTATTCACCCCTATGAAACATGCAACTGCAGCAGACTGTTACGAAATAAGCAAAAGGAGAACTTCTGATTTCAATTGAAAATCATTTCTCCGTTCCTTCTGGTACAGAACGGGTCAGAATACCGGAAGAACGATTGATTCGTTATAATTTCAACCTTCCGGTGGTTGCTGGAACGACCGTGATCGAATTAATCTTCCCCAAGAAAACTGACAATGCCACGGGTTTTCGTCTTTAATCATAAATGAGAAACGTATCTTGTCCGCGTAAAACAATTTCACCGGACAATTATTTTATTTTATTTATCCGATTTCTTCGAAACGTACGAGCAAACTGGCTTTCGTATCATCAGAAGTAGGTACGGTTCCAAGGCGAAGCTCTTCCCGTCGGCTATGCTATTAAGTTCCTTCGTAGTATTCCTGGTGAGATCACCAATTTATTTTCTCCTCCTGACAAGAAGGTCGGAACAGACGTTTCACGGGAAACGCTTCTCCTTTTTTCCCATCTCGTTTCCCGAATCATCCTAAATGAACTCCAGAGGTTAGAGAAGTTCGTTTGTCAAACCGGTGACAAATTTACGGCTTAATTTACTTACACTGACCGAGTAAACAGTGTTTCAACTCAACAGGTACAGTGTTTGGATCGCGCAATTGGAAATGATCCAACGCTGCTCTCTTCCACCCGGGTTTCGGTGCCAAATTTTTCATCAATCGAACATATTGCTCGTCTGTTGATCGGAACGTTTGATCCGATGCGTTGGATTGGAAACAGAACGAAAATTGCAGATTTAGCTTTCGGGGCGTTTGATGGTAGCTACAAAATTGAAATTGCTGGCAGGAGTGTAAACTGATGAAAAATATTAAAGGGAAGATAAACTTTTCATTAAAATAATATTATCTCATTGGGAATGATAAATTCATACAACGGAGAGATAAATTACGAAACATCCTATTCAATCGGTTCCATTGATGATACATGAAATACCCTCCCACAAAAATATATTAAAATCCACATAATACAACGTAAATCGCATACGAATCGTTTCAATTCAATGAATGAAACGTGGAAATGGAACGACAAACTGAATCATTTACAAGAGAGATAGTTAAAGTGTCCACATCCGGATGGCGTCATAAGACGACACGCTCAACATAACAGAGTACGGTACCGAGCATCGGGAGATCAATCGACGCCGCTTCTGAATACTTTAACCCTTTCGTTTCTAAAGACGACTATAGTCACCGAACGTCGAACTTCGAACTATAGTTATGATCTCTTCTCCTATACTAAGGGTAGGGGATGTTATATCGTAGTCGCAACAAACTTATCCCTCGATTCTCTTCCGGTTCCCAAGGGTCTAAGTTAATACTAAATTGCCGGACAAATAGGTCCGTCAAAATGGATTTTTGAAACTAAGAAGTGAGAGGGTAAGGAATTAGTATTTGTATACATTTTATAATTCTATTAAAAAGTAACATATGTTTTAAAAAAAAATTATTTAAATCTTCCTATAAAAATAAGTCAAATTGACTCGCTCCGGCAATCCAGGGTTAACGATCATTCCCTCGATCGTTTCTAGATCGATCACAGTTATCGGTATGGACAAAACGCTGGTGGGTCAGAAATTGCATTCGGCATAAGTAGGATTTAACTGGTGGCGAATCATCGATTCCGCGACGCTGAACTTTCTGTTTCCTGGAAGTGACGCGGATGCGCAGAAAGTTTGACGTCAAACTCCGTTCCCGCTAAAGGGACAGGACCTTTCGACCGCCATGGATATTGATTTTTCCACGGGTTTCGAGGTTTCTAGAGCAGACGACGGTCTGGCGCAGACTCCGCTATCTGCAACATGGCGGTTTATCACGGCAACGTTATCCAACATCTTCCCGTGTCGCGTTTCTCTCTGTTCACCAGACCATCAACTGGTATTTACGACGATGCTGTCGGGATTCGGGAAAGCTAAAGGTGACGATTAATTCTCCAAGTCGGAAGAGTGATCTTGGTGAACATGACCGGCGACACATGTGCCATTGTCACGTGCTTCCTGTTCCTCGCGAGTATCACGCTCGCCAATGGTAAGCTGCCGTTTTCCATTCTTCTTTCATTCAAGTATATATTTTAGGAAAATTCTATTCACTTTCTTTGATCATTTTTCTCGAATGAACATCACACAACTGGTAAATATATTGTTGGTAATCGAAATTAATTAAGTAATATGATTCGTTTTCTTTCTTCTCAGTATACAGTAATATTCTGAATGAAATATCCTTATGATGTTGCTTCAGTTCTTAGGAAATTTGAAGGAATTATATTTCATTGATGTGTAGTAGTGGTAAAAGTACCTGTTGAAAGTTTATCCTAGGTCCTTTAATGATTCTTGTGTATGTCTACTTGATTTTTAATCTAGAATTCTGATGTTTTTACCGGCTTCTTTGGAAAATTTTAAATCAAGTCTTGATCGAGGTACTTTATCAATAATATCGAATTCGATCACCAGCAATGTCAGAATTGAAAAATACAAAGGAATTCGTATTTTTAAATTTCATTGAGAAAATTTCAATGCAATTATCAGGGCAGCTATTATCAACGGAACATCGGACTCATGCAGCTGCGGAACGAGTGAACGATCTATGGTGTTATCAGTGCGACACGATGGAAGATGGGGAGAGATGTTCCAATCTGACCGGAAATTACACCGCTTTCGAGCACAAGTGCACTGGTGACAAAAGGACCTGCATGGTAAAATGATTCAACGATTAAAATTTTTCTTGATAAATTAACCCTTCTATTGCCATAAAAACAGTCGAATCGCGAATAATTAAATAAAGCAATCGAAGAATCACACTTAGCGAAAGCGACACGATTTCCTTTTCGTAGGTGAAACGATTTTCATACACCACCAGTACTGAAGATTCTACTTCAAGTCCTCAAACTTGGTCGATGGAAAGGAACTGTACCAGCAAATGCGAACCTGGTTGCATAGTGATCGGCGAACGGACAAAACTGTCCGCTTGCACTACTTGTTGCGAACAATCGTTCTGTAACGTCGGTACTGGCGCGAGCAATGATTTAACAATGAAAGGTATAGATCTATTTCTAGCTCTTATATTGCAGATCACTTTAACAATCATCATGTATCCCTCGTGATATTGTAAATAAACTATCTACCTTGTAAATAATTCAGTTTCTCGTTCGATTTCGAAATTTCATTCATCGAATTCCAACGCTTTTCCATTCATATGTAATTTATCCTTTGTACTTGCATCTCGTTGTAACGTATAAATTGTAACATATCTATAAGTAAGAGAACGTTTCGTGTATTATCTATGGAGACGTTAATTTAATTTTGTAAAAATGTGATATTTGTTTTTTGAAAATAAAAATATTACTCCAATCATGTGTCGTTCGATTTATCGAAGGAATATTAATGTCAAACTGGGAATGTGTACCACGTATCCAGTTTATATAGGATCAAATGTATTCGATGTTACGTAGTTTCAACTGTTGATTTACAGCTGTGCTCAATTAACCCGCATATGTAGTTACACAATATTAAATGGAAGCGTTTGCCTTACAGACAAGCATTCTATTTAACAACATTGTGGAAATACGTTTACTTTAATTTCTTTATATTAATAAATTGTACCGACAAATATTAACCCTTGAATTTCACTTCTTAACAATACACACAGAAGCTGCAATCTAGATCCCTCTTTCAAAGTTACATATTCGTAGAAGTCTATAATGGTTCGATAGAACGTCAATTGAATGTCCTCGATCTCACGACCTTATAGTTGTTTTTCACTTCAAAGATATTTCTATGAAAATTGCATAATTTGTACTGAATTGTTTCCTGTAATTAGCAAGCAATTAACCTATGGTTTATTTAACCCTTTAACAGCGGAGCCTGGGTCTCTCTCCATGGTCCGCCATCCGTGGATTAATAATTTTCATCAAACGTCAAGTTTTAAATGACTTTTCCTCGCTTTTATGTCATAAAATCATGTCAGAAAATGTACTTTTGGTAAATGGCCATTTGCTATGCATCTGTCTAACACGATTTCATAGGGAACAAAGTTACTCCATTTACAGTTTACCTCGTCCGATTCCCCTCGTATTTCTTTCATCCGACGAGAAGCTGCTGGATCAGATTTAATTCTCCGTTATCAGATTAATTAGGAGTTCACGGTCAAAGAGAATCGTGGAATTCCAATAGGAAAGAAGAGATCCACGGCTCTCGTTAACGCCGTACTTACGAACAATGCGTTCGCAAGGCATCCCCGGTGATGCCACATAAAGTTGCCATTATTAGAACTTCAGTGGGCGGCAAGCGTTGGGGCTTTTTCAAGCCACGAGTTCGTGCTTTACTTTTGCTCACAATTGGCCGGTTCACTCGCGTGCTAGCGTGCGTTTCAGTGAGTTTAGTGCTGTGTTTCTTCGTTCTCGCGTGGCAAACACGCTCTAAACCTCTTCGCGTTGTGCCCGCTTTAAACAAACCGTTTCGAATTCGTGACATTTTGCGATATCGACGTGGAAATTGTTCAACAATGTGGGAACGAATGCAAATTTGAACACCAGTTGTGCGAGATTCTCAAATTTTTAAATTCCTAACTTCCAGAATTTCACAACTGCAAAGTTTCAAATTTAGAAATTTTAAAAGTTTTCAAATTCCCAAATTTCAGATATATCGCGCGAACACGTGCGTTTGAAATTCGCGTTCATTGACACGTACAGAGGCGTGCGAAATGTCGCGACAACGCTTATCGCTCGTTCCATTTTTCGCGATTAACTTGCTGCTCCATCGTTAACAAGTTTACCGTCACAGTAAAAACGTTACCATAACTGTTACTTCATTTTCACAACTTAACATCCAACACCCCGATAATTATCATACTCAGAGAAACATGTAACCGCGAGGGATAGAGATCGTATGGTACCCTCAAAGCTACCATGGTAAAGTTCCTTCTAACGAAATGAACCGACGAAATTGAATCGGTCGAATATAGAATTGTGACGGTAGCGGTAATTACATTCGAAGGCAAACGAGTATGTTCGTCGAGTTTCGAACATCAGTTCAGAAAATCCCGTTGAAATTTCATTAAAACCGACCAGCGATGACGCAATCGAAACTTCCGAGTTTTCTCTTGACCATGTGGTTGCTCGGCACGATCGCGACTAAATCGAGAATGAGTGATTTTCTGCAAAGTTTGCAAGAATACGAGATCGTCTATCCGAGGATAATCCCTAATGGAAAGTTGAGGAACAGAAGATCCACCGCGGACCACGTAGAGGAGCCTGTCTTTCTCGAGATTAACAACTGGACATTGAGGACCATTTCTAGCGACCGACTGATACTTTCGTCCAATTTCACGGTGGATTGGGTCCACTCGAATAAAATGGATCCAACGAGCCAAGCTGTCCAAGGGAACTGTAATCTTCGACAAGGTAACCTGGAAGGCGATAAGAGTTCGTTAGCAGTGGTGACACTTTGCGAGCAGGATGTGTATGCTCTGATGATGATCGATAGAAAATCGTTTTTCGTCCAACCTTTAAACAACGGACAACATGTTATGTACCGATCGGAACAGACTGGATGGTGGTCCTCTAAGGATGATCCTAATATCGTTTCCTTGAGACGAGGAGGTGATACTTGCATTCATTTAGTGTGAAGTTTTCAATTCGTTCAAAGCAATTAAAATTAGGGATTCGTTTTTAGAAAGATCCGAAGTTAAGGAGAGAAAGAGACGGCACTCTGCGGATCGTTACAACCAAGAGTTTTATAATTTATCTGGAGATGTGTTCGATAATGAATATCCGGAGGCTGAAAGATTGATACTCTATGATGAGAACGATAATGTATCGTCAGAGTATAATGATACGATAATGGAACAGTTGACTGTTGATGCAGATGCTGAAGAGATTGATTACTTTTCCGGGTCAACGTGGCACAGAAGCACGTCGAGTAAATATAATAGGAAATTATAATTTGATATCATTCATTTTTAAACGACAGAGTTTAACATATTTGAAACTGAGTCTCTCTCCATGGTCCGCCGGATAAAACTTAAATCTAATAATTAAATCTATTTAATCTAATCAACTAAAATAGTATTCATTCTTTTTTTTTTAAGAGAAAAAAACTGTTAACAAATCATTACCACCACGGTGGCTAGAACTTGGAATAGCTGCTGATTACTCAGTCACTGATTTTCATGGGGTTCGAGTGCAACAATATATCATGGCACTTTTAAACATTGTAGGTATTATACAAAATTATTCATTAATATTCTTGATTAGAAGGTTACATAACTGTTCAAGGTCAGTGCAATCTATACGGATCCATCTCTCGAGTCTAACATGATTCTAGTGATTGTACGAATGATTTTGTATACCGAGAAAAGAGACGGTAGGGTAAGCAATTCCAAATTTATTTTCCAATCTATCTTTCTTTTCTTACCTACGTGAAACGTTAAAAAAAAGAAATTAATTAAAAATGATTTTTGTTACCAGGTTTGCCGCGGTGATGCCAGAAGGTCTCTCGAAAACGTGAACAGGTGGAACAAAAAAATGTTGTCTTCTACAGACATACGTCACGACGTCGCAGTATGGTTAACGCGTCTAGATATCGGAGGTCCTTCCGGATATGCGCCTGTATCAGGAGTATGCGATCCTGCCAGATCCTGTGCCTTAAATCGGGACGAGGGTTTGACCAGCGCCTTTATTATTGCACACGAAATTGCACATATGTGAGTGTTGCATATTATGTATAGCATTAACTTGTTAAACATTCAGGGCCGCCCCTGAGATTTCGGGGCTCCAATTATAAAAAAAAGTAGCTCAAATAAAATTTATAAAATTAAGATTAAAGCTTGTATAACTAATTTAGATTTGCATTTACATCGATTAATATTCAAGTAAACATTCTTGCATTCTTAGATACAAAATCGTCTTATGGGGGCCCCGGACCTTGGGGGGCCCTAGGCAGCCACCTAGTATGCCTAGGGCCGGCCCTGTAAACGTTATTACTTACCTTCATCTCGCTTCAACGATTTACGTATGTGTTCCCGTAGCCTAGGTTTGACGCATGACGGGGATGAGTCTAACGGAAATGCTTGCAAAGAAGAAAGCTCTCAAGGAAGCGTGATGGCACCTATGGTTGCTGCGACGTTTCATCACTTCTACTGGTCGACCTGTTCGAAGAACGAGTTCCATCGAAGGGTGAGGTGAGAAGAAGGGTTTCATTCGTGTGTATACTCTTAGAATTACATACTCTTAAAATAGGTGTTTGCAGACGCAGATCTTGCTTGTCGAATAAACCGAAATACGAAGGCTCTAAGCAGTTGAAAGCTGCGTTTCGTGAAACTGGAACTTTCTCGATGGACGAACAGTGTCGTATTGAATTCGGAGAAGGGTAGGATAATTAGCTTAATATTGTACAAGTTTTATACCTTTTTACACGAGCTGCAAGAAGAATCCGTGAACAGTGAAACTAACAAAACCGGAAATCCTGTTTTTTAAATAAAGTTTCCCGTGGCGTCGCTGAGCGCTTCCACGTTCCGTGAGCACGTGACGCCATCTAGTGTCATGTTCAAAAATAAACTCTTTTTATTTCGCCGATAGGAAGCGCAAAAAATACGTCGCTTTCTAGTTCTCCTTATTAAAACTAGATGACGCCATTTTGCAAAAAAGCGCGCCAATAGAATGCTAAAAGTGTTTATAACAGAGTTAATTTTTTCGGTTTTATTAGTTTCACCGGTCAAGGTAAATTTACATCGATTAATATTCAAGTGAACATTACTCTTCTTGCATTCTTAGACGCAAAATCGTCTTATGGGGGCTCTGGACCTTCGGGGGCCCTAGGCAGCCGCCTAGTCCTAGGCCCAGGGCCGGCGCTATTTTCAAACTTGACTCCTAAATTTAAAAATGGTACATAATTAGCATCTACCACTTACGTTGTTTCCACTTTTTAATTCAGCTACGAATACTGCAAAACTTTCGACGTTACGGAGCCGTGTTCCCGTCTATGGTGTGGCAATAGTAATATTTCTGAAACTTGCAAAACCAAGAAAGGACCGCCATTAGAAGGAACGGTGTGCGGAGTGTCGAAGGTAAATCTAAGAAACAAATAATAGACAATATTTAAATACCACCTTTAAACGCAATCATTTCAGTGGTGCATAAACGGACGATGTCAGTCGAATAGAAGAAACTTGGACTTAGGAATAGTTTTAAATAAACCTAGAGACGGAGGTTGGAGCGCATGGAGCGACTGGGGAAAATGTTCAAGGACATGCGGAATAGGTGTGCAATGTCGAACACGAAAATGTAACAAACCGCTGTTAGTATTTTTCTAGCAATATCCCACGACGAGTATAAATGTATTCTTAAATAAATTTTCATTCTTTCTAGCCCGATCCACGGCGGGAAGTATTGTTCAGGACCCACTGACGATTGCAAACTATGCGACTTACCGAAATGCTTGATACCAGTTGACCTCAGAGCTCAACAATGTTCCAAACTCACCGACACTCTACTTCTTGAAGGAATTTTATCAAAATACAACGTCACTTGGCTACCCTATGAATCCGAGCAAGAGAATTTCAAATGCCGGTTGATTTGTAGAAGCAGAGAAACCGGGGAGATATTTGACACTAGAAGAAATCTAATTGATGGTACACCATGCTCTTACGGGTCGACTGATATATGCATTCAGGTAACAGGAGCGATACTACCGATGGTGCAACACGAATTAATTACTAACTAGTGATTCAAAAGTCGATCAAAGGAAAACAAAACAACCCGAGTTTTAATTTACGAATTCAAAGCTCGCGCGATAGCGTAATTCCGATTTCTCTCATAAACTTAACATGGGTATCGGTTTCTCTGACCATTCCTCAAGGACACCACCGATCTCTGATTTTATTCTATAAATTTTATATAATTTTTATATAATAAATTTATAAATATCAAAAATTATCAATGGTCCAACCACTTATTAATGATCAAAATTGATAATCTAGATTTTCAATTAAAAAGTTACAAAAATCCCGATCAGTCGTTTAATAGCGGAGCTTCGTTTGCTTCGTTGCAATTAACGCAGAAATAAATTTTACTTCACAGGGCGAGTGCCATCAGATGGGATGTGACAACGTCTTAGGATCCAAGAAAGTCTTCGACGTATGCGGAGTGTGCGACGGGGACCATTCGAACTGCGAGAGTGTAATGAGCAAGTTTCAGAGGAAACTTCGACGAGGTCAGTCTAGTCGTTCAAAATTCAATTGCTAGAAGTTCTCCTCAAAGTTGGATAGCAGTTCGAAGAACGCTCTTAATTAGATTAAAGGATAAAAATATCAGAGAACTTCGTTCCATTTAAGAAATGAGATTTCGCAACTTTGTTTGATATTCTTAAGATGTTATTGTTATTTTTGCAGAAGTGACACGCCTCGCTATAATACCACGTGAGGCTTATAATCTGTCCTTGAACGTGACGATACTACCTTCTTCGTTTTTCAATCCAAATAACTTAACAATTATAATAGGAGATGGACGAAGAAGGCGGAACATTCAGAAACACTTGACGTTCCGGAAGAAAGATTTAATAATAGCACAGGGTGCTGCTTTTCGAATTCAGAGGCGCGACGATAATACGTATTCTGTACGGGTTGATGGCACTACTTTTGAAGATGTGGTGATTTTGGTAATAATTTAAAAATAGATAAGTTCAATCATCGTATATAAGCGACCTATTTAAGATTTTTTATTGAATTATTCTTCTTATAGCTTGTAACACCGCAAAGCGTAACAGAGCAAGCAGCCTCGGTCACAGCCTCTTTGGAATATTTTATAAACCGTGATAAACGGAATTCGAAAAACAGATATAAATGGTTGTTTGGAGGCTGGAGCTTCTGTTCGACGAGTTGTGGCAATGGAACGCGTCACAAGATCATAGTTTGCAAGGATGAGCAAACTGGGAAAATAGTATCGCGAAGAAAGTGCCCGTTAATGACTAAACCGAGTCAAGAAATAGAAAAATGCAACGGTTTCAGGTATAGTTCGGTGCTCTCGATCAACATGTATGGTTCAATGATTATTTTTCGTTACATACTTTTTACATATTACAGCTGTACCTTTAAATGGCTACCAGGTCCATGGGAGGGGTGTTCAACCACGTGTGGAAGCTATGGCATGCAATTGCGTCAACTTTATTGCGTTCATTCGGACTTTAGCGGGACCGAAGTTAATAAAGATAATGAATTAGAAGTTTACAGAACGATGGTGCAACCATCGGTATGCCAAACCACGTCCATGCCCACGAATACTAGAGAATGCAATAGAATTCCGTGCCCAGGACGTTGGGTTTTTACAGAATGGTCTTCGGTAAAAAAATATTAAGTTTGATATTATAAAAATATTGTACCATTATATAACATTATTTTCCTTTACAGTGTTCGAATAACAATGGAAAAGGCATAAAGTCCCGAATAGCTCGATGCATTCCTCCGGAGAACGAATCGTTTTACACCTGCGATGGACCAACTATTAAAACAGAAATTCGTTCCTGTACAAATCATATAACTAGAGCCATCGAATTTCCATATCGTTGCTGGTCAGAAGAGAGTCGATTCTGTTCTATACCAAGCTTGAAACGGTATTGTAATGTTCCGGCATTCAGAAGAAGATGCTGTCGTACTTGCGACTAATTCGATAGAATTTCTATAAACTTCAGTACTAATTACAATTATTACAAATGTTATTTATTGTGTACATATGTATCTAAAACCAAAGGCAAATGATGGGAGATTTCTCTTCTTACAGTTAGATGTAATGTAGGTATCTTTTGATTAAGGGGAAGGATAAAGAGAAATCTTCTACCATTTGATTCGTGTCTTAGAAAAACCGAGGGAGATCCTATCATAGAACCTCCTCTCCTCATCCCTAAAAGAACGTAGACAAATAAGGCGCGCAATGGAATGCTTCTTCCCTTACACGCTCCCCTGAAGTTAAATTTATAGTATTTAATTTTACTATAGTTGTCAATCCTGTTATTCAGCATTTTAGTTCTATAGTTCCTAAATGTGTAACCGCGAGCACGGTATAACAACTCATAAAGCAATATCAGTTCTGACAGTAATTTTTTGACGTAACATTTTTCTTAGTTCATTATAAATAAGTAGTGATTAGCTCGTAAGAATATTTCTTCCCTCAATGCATCAAAATATAAAAGCCAATGAAACGTAATATTATCCGTTAGTAGTCTGATTTTGGTTAGCACGATCATTTTTTCGAACGGTTATAACCAAATTTCCGCCTGTTTTCTATTTAGTAAACTATTAAATTTACGTAGCGAGGACAAAGAAGCGTAGCAATTAAATTCCATGCAATTTGAAAATAAGTCGAAATGAGTAAGAAATGGAATCGACATTCAGATTCGAATGGAGAACTGAGCGATGGTTCGATTCATTCATGTGATGTACTCCGTATTACAGGTTAGAATTTCAAAAAAGTATATCAAAATCTTACTTTTATTTCCTTTTTCTTTAAAATTAGAACCAAGCATTTTATCTTTTAAGTTATTTAAGTTACTAGTAATGAGATAGAAGTAAATTTATTTGTAAATGAAAAATTATTATATAAAACCTAAGATAAAGAATCAAGCTTAAGATCATTTCACACGTTTTATAAAGTTTAACATTGCTTCTTTTATAGATTGCAACTGTTCATCCATTGGGAAAGCAGTTAATTTTAATGAAATGAAGAAATGTGGGATGAATATAAAATGTACAACAGGTTGTAAAGAATGTACAAGTGATTCAAAAAAACCTAAGGAAGAGGTATTAATGTTAAATAGAAATAAAGTACATTTTAATCTAATGAAAAAGAACATTTTTGAAGTGTAAATATTTGTAACTCTAGGAATGTGCAATGAGCTCTAGGATGTTAATTTGCTTGGAATGTGCGCATCAAGGTTGTGGAAAGAAAGAGTCTGAACATGCTTTAGAACATTATAAAAAGCTGCATTGTGACTCATGTCATTCCATAGCTGGGTTTGGTTCAAGCTTTTGGTGTTTTGATTGTGCAGTAGAAATTCAAAACGAGACTACTAATGTAGATAAGAAAGAGCAAAAACAAATTTTATACAATCTTCCTAAAGTAGGGGTAGGTACATTTTGTAATGCATTCACAATGCATTTGTACTTCTAGCATAATACAAATTATTATTTTTTCCTTCCAGGGCTTAATGAATTTGGGAAACACTTGTTTTTTCAATGCAGTTTTACAATGTTTAGCACAAACACCTTTCTTAGTGAAGGTCTTAGAGGATTTACGTCTTCCCGGACAAAAATTCGTTTTGCCAGGAGGAAAGCACAAACCTGCCAATAGCTCAGAAGAAGTTGAACTGGTGAGTCATTGTTTATACCTTTAAAATTATGGTAAAATACTGCGTGATTAAAAGGATATTTCTTTCAGCCTCCAATAGAAGGCACTTTAGAAGGCTGGGGCAGTTTCACTTCAATTTTATGTAAGACACTTATAGAAATGCAAAATTCTGACGGACGTCAAGCTTATCGTCCGTCCGAGATATTAAATTCGTTTAAGAAGAAAACTATGCAGTGTATGGACGGTGGACAACACGATTCACACGAACTTCTTAGACATCTTTTAGAACTAGTTCGAAATGAGGATCTTAGGGTAAGATTGATTTATGTCACTATGATGATAAAAATCATTATACTATTAAAATGAAGTGATTTTGCTTTTTTCAGAGATATCAAAGTATAATTTTAAAAGAAGTTGGTTTGAATGAAAAAACTAATCCAGAAAGAGTAGAAAATAGCCTCAAATCTCGGGTAAAATTTTATGGAAATCAGGCTAGCGCAAGATTACTTGGGCCGGAACTTGTTTTTCGTGGAGTTTTAGTTTCGACGTTAGAGTGTCTTGACTGCCATCATACATCTCAAAGTATGGAACCTTTTCTAGATCTAAGTATACCGGTGATGGCTGACAAACCGCAACCACCAGTTTTGAAGTAAGATTTATTCTTTAAACAGTTAAGAAGTATTAGGTTATACTTATTTCTGTAATTATAAATAAATAATTTTTTTCTACTAACATTTATTTAAGAAGGAAGAACAGTGGTTTTGATGATACTTTCAACGTTATGGGAAATAATATTTCACATACACCCTCAAAATATCAACTGAAAAAGGAGAAGAAGCCTGTTCGAAAAAATCGGAAAAATAGAAAACAAGAAAATCGGAATCATGACAATGACGATAATTTTATATCTGATAAGAATAATATTGCTGAAGAGAACAATGGCAGTATACGTGAATCAGGTATTTCATACTTTACTTTTATAAAGTATCAATTTAATTTGATAAAGCATACTTCGGTAAACAAAATCATATTTTTATAGAAAAGGGTGATGCAGATGTAGAAGATAACGTAGAAGCAGATCACTTTAGTACAAAAATGTTACCCGGGTAAGTTATTATAAAATTAATTACTCGTTTCGTTATATGAATTTGTTTAATAAGTAACTTGTATATTTATATAGCCCAAGTCCAATGAATACATGTGTAACGAATTCACCACAAGGAAAAACTTTGGACGGATTGGATAGTTCGGAGAGTGTAGAAAACGAAAGTGGAATCCAAACTGGATCGTCTTTTTCTACATCTTTAGTTATGAATTCAGATTTAACGAGTCCGACGGTTCCAACAATTAGTCTTAGTTCAGTTACGTCTAAAGAAAGTCCAAATAGTCCTGTTTCTGGTGTTACAAATGGGGAAAATTTAGAAAATATTAAGAGACCATTGTCCAGACTTAATCTGATCGAACCAGTTGGTCCTATTGAACAAGAGGAAGAAGAAGAAGCTATTTGGGATGACTGGTATCTAATAGTTTATTAATATTCATGTTAATGAATTTAAAGTCTCAATGTTTAAATTTCATTTTAATAATAGGAAAGCAAGGAGGAAAACGGAAGAATATTCAAGCGAAGTTAGTAATGGAATCAATGGTATTACATCTGAAATTTCAAAAATAGGTATCAGTTGCAATCTTCAGCAATCACCTACTAGATATCCAACTAAGGAAGGAGAATATTCAATACAGTCATGCTTAAATCAATTTACGGCATTAGAGTTGATGAGTGGTAGCAATAAAGTTGGTTGTGAGGCTTGTACTGCCAGAGAAAAAAAGGTATATCAACCTTACAAGACCGAAATATTTCTAATTTGTACTTTACATTCATGTTCGTTTGTAATTATAGGTAAAAGAAAATTGTAAGATGATATGTACTCCAAGTACAAAACAATACCTGATCTCTCGAGTACCTGCGGTTTTGATTTTTCATCTGAAACGTTTTCAAGCACAACGAACCGAGTTCCGAAAAGTTTCAAGACACGTTTCGTTTCCTACGTTACTTGATCTAGCACCTATTTGTAAGAATCATAAGAAACCTAGGGTTTATGCACTGTATGGGGTTGTTGAGCATAGTGGAACTATTCGTGGTGGACATTATGTTGCTTATGTGAAGGTAACGAACCTGTACTATTCAATGGGAGTAGTTGTGTTTAATTAACTAAAAATTTAAACAATTTAGTATAGGTAGAAATTGAATTATTTAAAAAAAAAAGATCTTACATTTTTTTTCTAGAGTCGATTACCATTAAAACCAGACGATCCTCGATGGTCATTTTTACCGCCAAAGGATCCCCAAGACACGCAAGAGAATTCATGTTCTTCGAGTTCTGATTCTGAAACTGAAGAAGCAACTGCAACCCTTTCATCTGCAGTGAAACCGCCACCTGGAAAATGGTATCTTATTTCGGATTCTAGGTACATATTTTATTTTTCCTTGTTATATGTAATAATAAGCTTAAACAATAATTGAAATACGTACAATGAATGCTGATAAATTTTGTCTTGAAATTTAGTTTTAAATTAAACTAAATAAACTAACTCATTATCGGGTGATGTTAGATTTCATTGAAAATAATTGATGTTAATTTTTTTTCGATTTTGTACACGATTTAATTTTATTTTTTTAGAGTATCAGAAGTCGATGAAAAGACTGTACTGCAAAGCCAAGCTTACCTTCTCTTCTACGAGAGAATTTTTTGAACATTATTTATTAACAGCCGCTAAAGTAAATCACGAGGAACTTGAATTTTACAACAGTAAAATACAAATAGTGAAAGAGATTTTTAAATTCTATGAACTTCGATTGTTTGAACTGATCAAGAACAATATACGAAGAGATTTACTTCTGAAGCTATGGACTTTAACAGAGAACATTATAACTGTGGGATGTATAGTTTTTTTAATGGTACCGATCAGAACCTTTTATTAAAATTGTTTTTCATTATATTTAAAATTGTCAACTGAATATTGTATAGCATTTTCTAAGTGTTATTTTAATCTATATTACGATCAATATTATGATCAATATTTAAAATGCCACTATTAAATACTTGTGTGAACTTCTGATAATGAATGCTGTTTGTACTTTGATACTTACACTTCGTCAAAGTTATAAAAATTTGTTGCACTAGTTAAATGAAACATTTTAAATAATAGATAATAAACATTGCATTTAAAATCTATAAGTGAAGGTAAATATTTTTATCAAGAATTTTTTGAAATTATACTAACTAATAATAAGTATAAAAGTTCGTGTACTACACTTCCAAAAATTGTTTATAAATATATTACAACGTTTAAAAAAAAAATAGAGTTTAAATACGTACATAAAGTGATAAAACAGCAATCATTACTAAGATATGGTTAACAAAAGGAATAAGGACAATTGTAAAGCCATATGAATGAATAAAAGTGAAATTTAACTATTGCTATTGATTGAAACAAAAGTTTCCACAATTTTAATTTTTTTTTTTCTTTTTTAAGAGGAATTTATTTAAGAAACATTTTTTTTTATTTTAACCATTTTTAAAACTTGGATATTCCCTCATAGCATTCAATTTATAGCAAAACCAAAGTTAGAATATTTTATTTTACAATTGTCGTTATATCTCTTCTACTCATCATACAATTGATTGGTATAATTACATCATTTTCTTTTACAGCAATGTAACTGAAGTTTTAGATAGCTAATATTTTATAACAATTAAAAGTTTTAAAATGAAAATACTATCGAAAGTTATGTTATTATGATCCATTAATTCTTCAATTTAATTTCAATTGTTAAGGTCATTGTATTTATGTGTTCCACCTGCATTTATAATAATAAATGACTATAAACTATGATTGTTATTAAGTATTGCACACTTTTTCCATCAAATAGATGGTGGTGTCATTCTCATACATAAAAACATACAGGTTTAAATGAATAGTTTTCATAATCACCTGTTAATAAATCACTTACTTCAGGGTGATCTTCAATCATAAGCTCCTCTAAAGCACAAAGTCAAGGCTGCCGTTAATACTGTAACCACTTTACTGAAAACCTCTTCGATTCTTCTAATTTAACCTCCTCCCGTTTTCCGAGGATTTTATATAACATCATGTTTTGTAAAATAGCTTGCTTGTTTATTTCATAAAAACTTTTCGTGGATATCACAATACTTTTCAAATTTTAATCTCATCATTACATTTTGTTATTTTCGTACAATAAATACAAATTAAATAAATGTAAAAAGAATGATTCTTCCTCTGTTATTGAGGATACATCTTCAAAATTGCAACACAAATCTCTATTGCGTCTGTTTCAAATGGATGCATCAACATAGCAGTCCACACGTGTTCTTCAGGGAAAACAGTTACTAAATGATGAAGTATTTCGGATCTGATATCAAGAAGCTCTCTTATCATATCTGAAGGCATACCCGCGTATAATGGATGTACAGAGACATTTAGTTGCCTATCTGAGGCAGCTAATTGTTGATTTGACGGTGATGGTGAAGGCATATTTGAATTATTTGGTAACCAAGCTTGATAAGATTCTGGTGCTGAAGCAATGCGTGTTACGTGTTGATGGCCTTGCCTTCCTTCGAAATGATCCCAGCTAAATAATCGAGTATTTTTTTTTTAAATTCTTTATTTAAGTGGGACGATAGTGCGTACCTAGTTAAACACTTACTTCATGTCAACTGTATAAGGCAATTCGTAACTAGAATGTCTGGTTAATGGTCTGTGTTGTGCTCTGGAAGGTGCAACTGTAGATTGCGGTGACGGAGAGTTCGCTGATGATGCTTGTTGGTACTGACTCGATCGACGAAGTCGAGGATCGTAAATTGGATTCAATGTCAATTGTCTCTGAAGCTTTCTGTGCATATTTGGTGGTTCCACCTCTGATTTATTCAATCCTGGTTTATTCATTCCTGCTGTCCGACCGGAGGAATGATAACCTACCAATATACAATATAATATAATGATTATATTACCCCTAAAGGAAACCTATACAAGTTGCACAAAACTGTACATTATTTTCACCTTGAGAACTTGTGGCAGGGATTGTCTGTGTTCCTTGTACTCCAGAATTTGTTGGTTGCTCGATAGCAACATTTTCTACAGATTTACTTTTAATAACCGAAGGTAATCGTTGAACACTAGCAGTCACTGCTGATCTGGTTTTACATAATGGTTGATGCTGAGACAAGTTCGACGATAGATTAGTTGGTAAAAGAAGACTTGGACTTGGATCTTTAGCCTGAAGATGCTTTTGCACGTGTTCTACTAATTTTTCTGTAACTGATTTCTGAGGGTGAGGACCTCTTTCCGGATGCCGGAATTTACATTTATTTCCGTAAGTGCATTTCTGAAATAAAAAGGAAAAAATTGTTTATCAATATCATAGCATCGAGTCGGTGTTTAATTGTTAATTATAACAATTGTTCCAATAGTCAAGTGGTATTTGGAAACACGACTTTACTTTTTCCATGAATCGTATAAAAAAGGAAAATGGACAATATACCTTTGCATATGGACAAGGAGGGGCTGGATCAGATTTTTTCGGAGAGATTCTTAAAAAATTTTCTAAAGTAGGTCCGCTTCTACCTAATGGATCATCTGGTGGCATAAACCGGTCATTTACGAATGTGTACATCAAAATCCTTTCCTCTATTACTTTTCGAAACTCTGGACTTTCCTGTGCTAAATCTCTATAATTGTCGTTGCTGACAACGATACCATCAATCTCTGCGGCTAATCTCAAAATATAACGATCGTCGTAACAAACCATTCTTTTACCACCGATTAATCTGAAATTAGAAATTCAACATCGCTTTGCTGTTTTATATTTACAATATTGTATTTCTCCTCTCATTCGGTAATTACCCTCCGAGAGTTAAATAATACATTATACGACATACAAACCTAGACGGTGTGAAAACCAATAAACGATCTCTTTCCAATTCACCAAGTATCTCTTGATCAGCTATCGGATTATCGATTCGGGAAGCTTCCTTCCTCCACTTTGGCACAAATACGGTGATCTCTTTATGTCCTCTCGCTTTAAACCAATTCACGCATATTTTAATCCCTTTACAAGAAAATATTTCTTTGTTTCCATGACTCATAGCTACGTTGCTTCCATCTATTACAACAGGCCTTAGCCTGCTAGAGCATCCACTGCTTTCATTAGTAACTAAATCATTTTCTAGAACGGTGTCCGATTCTTCTGGTGTGTCGATCGATCTCTGAGAACAATTGGCACCGAGTTTGATCAATTCGGCCAACAGTTCATTTTGTTCTGGATCTGGACCCAATTTTTGCAATGCTGTCTGAACTAAACGTTCGGTGTAACCAAGTTTCAAGGCAAACTCTACCCTTGCTGTATACCCTAAAAAAGAAAAATGATTTACATTTATTAATAACAGGGCAGGTGACGTGTATCTTCATGGTAACATTTTACGTTTTTTAAATTATTCAAGTATTGCTCCAATTTAATTTGATTCTATGTAAATACTTGCCCATGTGGAGATCAAACTTATATTTCAATGAATAATCTGCTGTATCTATAAAATAAAATAGGCAAGTACATTTTAAAGAATGATACTGAAAAGATGATCCAAGGTAATTAAAGATACTCAATTGCATAGCTGAAATAAGATAAAGATTTTAATTAAGAAATAAAAAATATATGTTAATATGGAAGAATCAAATACTGTTAGATATTATCCCTTTCAAACCGATCAATAGAAATTAGTAGGAAAAATTAGTAACATTGAATGAGTTGGAAGAATTGTGTTTTTAAAGAGGGTTACATAAATTACAAGAAGCAGGTGAACGAGGACAACTCACCGAGGAGAGTAGTAAGAAACCCGACCTCGAATAGACTCAAATATGTATGATGGCCTGTCACATAAAGAAGTTTAGGATCTTCGGTTGAAACACACGAAGCATCAGTGCCAGGAGGGGAGGAATCCCTAAAATGTTAGAGAAATTTGTGATAGGTACGAGCATGATGCGATCAAAATTATTATAGCGATTATTTTCAATGTGCATGATATTCAAATTGTATGCAAAGAGAGGTTTAAGGAGAAGAGATGATATTAAATTCTTGCTAAAGGAATTGCTTCAATTTTTAAATGATAGTAGCATTGTAAACCTACAACTGATCTCCACACAGGTTGATACAAAGCTTTATTTAAGGTGTATTTATATACAGTTTTAATTAAAAATCATACATTATAATACAAAATATTATTGATTAGAAGCTGTGACTAAGATGATTAGTTACTGATAATGCATTCCATAATTTATTAATAACATAGAAAATAAGATATTAAATTTTGTATTGGTAGCTGTACAGTTAAGATCCTTGTTTTAATAACAAATCATTTTATTTTTACCTGGACTCTGATTAGGAGGACTTCCTTGAACAGTAACATATTCTGCAAATTCTGCAGCCAAGGTATCTGAGGTGGTCCTGGACACATCTGAATGATTTGAAGTAGTCACCTGTAATATTGATTAGTACCAATTAATAAATTAATAGTATTTCGAAACTGAAAATCTCAACTATTTCGTAATAACATTATAAAGGGTGTCGAATTCTTTTGCTGGTGAACGTGTACAGAACATACGAAGGTCATCGATGTTTTTTCAAACAGATTTACTTTATTTCAATTTAAAGTTCAATTTAAAAAAAAAAAAAATAGAAAACATAGATGACCTTGAAATTTCGTAAGAAAATGACTGAGAAAAAAAATTCCTTCCACCATCAGACGTGTCCCTTGAAACAGTAAAAGAAAAATTAATTTAGAAAATTTTTAATGCATTTCTAACTAAATGATTTTATTTAATGAAAATCAATACCTGTAATTCCACTTGTGAATGGACGTTGGTGGATCCGATGGGATCCTCAGCTTCGTAATCGCTGTCGTAAGAAGAGTCTTCAGCGTCGATAATGCTTTCGGCTTCCAAAATGGTACAGTCCACGTATTTCTAAAAGCAAAATGAAAAATTGATGAATAATTATTTTCAATTTAGAATTTCTTTTCAAAAATCGTATTAAGAATTTTAATACATTAGCAACGTTGCGACCGGAAGTCGTAGATCTGCACACTTCGAAGCGAACTGTAAATTTACCCCTTTAGATATTAAAATTTTTTAAATTTCAGTAGTTTTGTATTTTATAATAAAATCTCCGTAGAAGTAAAGTTAGCTTAAACGAAGTATACCTCTTTCAGGTTACCGGATATGACTGTTAGCAAAGATCCAGGTGAAAGTAAAGAGACGCAGCAAATACTGTTCTTTTATTCTGAACTCTCCTACTTTACAAGTAGAAAATCGGTAATTAAAAAAAATCAATTCAAAACCTTTTAATCAATAATTAAAGAAACTCTTTGAAACGTTATTCCTATTGATTTTATTTTATAATTCAATCTATCTTTTTTATATTTAATAATATCACGAAAATTGTTTGAACACTTATATTTATTATTATTACAACGGTAAGTATAACGCGATGCAAACATTTTAATGAAAGTCGACAGAAAGTGTTGATCACTTGTTAGAGATACAATGATGAATGTTAATATCGAATGCATTAATATTAAATAGGTTCATGTTACCTATTAGTGAACAATAAAAATGAACCGATGATTCAATAAAACCAATCCTTCATCTTTTACCTGAATTTACCATATTTTTATCATATGAATATAAAAAAAGGTGAAGAAGCATGAGTTATTTTATTTGAATAAAAAAAAAGACATTAGTTCCTATCGGATACATTTTGACCAAGTGTACGTTTAAAAGGGGCAGGACACGGGTACATTGTGAAAAAAAGATGAAATTTACGACACTGCATGTCACGGGTTGCAGCCTATGCCCTACCAGCGGCTTCGTGCGCTCCTACGTCAGGCTACGTATCGCTTTCCCAAGCCCAACCTTCTCAATTATACACTTACGCAGGTATCTGCAATATAATAGAGAGAATCGAAAACTCATAAGGTGATACTAGAACATAAGCATGCGGTAAATCAACTAATAAAACAATCACTTACAGTCAACTCGTTAACTCGGCAAGAATTGAACGTACTCGAACGTAGGACGCGAAAATTACCGGTAAGACAAATATGAGGGTATTTATATATTTAGAATAATACATTGGTTTACATAATTTTAACACGAATAATTAAATCAGGGATGAAGTTAATGTAACCAAATTTTCTTTAATTTCTTCTTAATTAAATTCACCGCGTCGATCATCAGTAACCAACATGGCGGCGAACGTGTTTAATATCCGGCTCGGATTTTTTCTTCTATTTGTGCATTTAGAACAGATTCTGCGCGGTAAAACAAATAAAAGATTCCTTTTACCGATTGGAAATTAGATAGCTGCTAATGGTATATTAACCTGAAAATTAGTTGATACATTGTTTGTTTCCAACGAAGGATCCGCCATTTTGAATTTAGAATATTAGTGACAATTTTATATACCTAGTCTTTTTCGAAAAATTTTAAAGTTTAAATTGATGTGACACAGGTGCTATTTTATGAGAGTTTTATGTCATCAAATCGTCTCAGAAAGGATCGGAAATTTAGTTGCTAACCTAATACTTTCCCATCCAAATTCATCTAACTTTCTATGATAAACGAGGTCTTAGTGAAAGATCACCTTGTTTTCTATTTAGTAATCTAATTTACTTTTCCACTACTGCCTCTTACAATTTTTATCATTGATTTGTATTAATAATAATTAACATGGAATTAGTCTAAACAGGGGTTAACTAGGATCTTTTCAAATTTTCAAATTTTAGAATAGTGAGGAGAACCAATCCTCATTAGGGGGAGAGGCAATGTACTTAAATATTTTTAAAAACTTCTAATATCAAAACACAAAAGATTTCATTTAATAAAATGAATGCAATCTCGAAAAGTTTATACGATTTTTATAGAGTACACTTTCTAAATAAATATTAACTTCAGACTTGATACTACTTTCGTTAATTTCACTTTATTTAATCTACACTGAATCTAAAAGTGAATTTTACCAACACTATCAAATAATAGTATAAATAATCATAATTTCGTAGGATCTGATTATGAGTTATTGTTATACGTGCGAACAATAATCAATATATGTATGCATGTTGGTTAACTTTCTTTCTGACTCGCTGAAAAGGATAGCACTTTGTTTTAAATAACAATTTAAAAGTGAATTTTTTTAAAATAAAATATCATGAATTTCTTAGTATTTGGGAAAAAATATTTTTGAAAGTTAAGAACACTATCGTCGTATCTCGTCGCTCTAATTTAGGTCGCGATCCCACTCTAGCACGACAGTTTATAAACAAGACAGAAAAAGACAAGTAGTGATCATAATTTATAAAATATACGCAGAAAAATATTCTATTGTTAGATATTATATTAATCGCTTAAAGTAATTTACATGACAGTGATTATTATTGACAAAAAAGGAAACGCATAAGTAATAAATGGACATTTACAAAGGTGTCAAATTTACTTTTTATTTTGTGCAGGCTACAAATACGCTATATTTCACAGTGTCTTCGATCAACAAAAACACAATCAAAGCTACAAAACACCATATCTAAATCTAAACTTACAACTGTAAGAATGTAGCAAAACCAGTGAGCAAACTATAAACGATGTTTACCTAAAGCAATTATTAAGATATTTGTAACTGTAAATCCAAGCTCTGGGGAGGTTTAATTGAATATTAGAAAAATCGTGAAATTAAAAAAAAAAGAATTTATCAGAACTTACCTTTCCGGCGACGGTCATATCTCCTTCCACGAATCGTAATCGATCGTATCCTTTCGCGTCCAAAGACCTTCTCGAATCCGTACAAATACTATTATGTACACAAATCATACACGCGAGCGCGAACGCACACACAACGGAAAGGCAAGGGAGTAAGAAAGACAGACTAAGGAGGTAAAGTAGCTTTCACAAATACATTCCAGCCTCTGATTAAAAAGGCGTCGATCGAAATTGATCTTTCTACTGAAGACAACAATGATCCCGGTGAAAAAAATCGTACGAAAATGTTAAAACACAAAGAAATAGTAAAGGCTGAAGCACGCTTCCGGGATATTCCGTTAGATCCTGGAACGGTATCGATGTTCAGAAGAAAGCAGGACAGAATAACGACTACTCGCGGCGACGGCCGGTCAGTGAATGGAGCGAGCGAGAGCTACGACGTCATTACCCCCACCGTTCGGCACCAGTCGGGTAATGTCGTCACTCGTCATAGACAGCCGCGGCCAGTAATGGCCACATGGCCACGAGGTAAGATGAAGTAAAATTGAATGATGAATAAATAAATGATGTATTAAAAATGGCACGTATATAATCCATACCCATTTTAATATTTTGACCGTATTCTACTTGTTCTTCCTGTTTCACTTGGTAAAGGGCGCCTAATGATATTTCTCTTTTAAATGAAAAGTCAGTTTATGCAAAAGCATGATTAACTCAATATATCCTTTAAAAAAATACAATTATTTTTGACAGTACTTTATCAGCTTGGTCCAACCATTAATAGAATGTGTAATATTAGTACTCACCATTTATAAGTTTTATTAATAGTTTCCAAGTACATATAATTTTACAAATTACTTTGCAGTTTGATTTTATATATTTTAATGTAATAAAAGATTGATATCCCATATTGTATCTTAATTAGATTATTACAATTATTACAATTGGAATGACAGATAGAAAGCTGTATGCTTTAACATTTAATAAAAATACTGTATAAAAATGATAAAAAACATAACTTAATAACATATTCAGTATAAAAATTATATAATAAAATATCCAATAAAAAAAATGTTTTCTCAAAATATATATATTCAATTAAATGTATGTAAAATTAGAGATTCAAAGTCAAAAAATTATGTTTCATTTAAGTACCCTGTTTTAATGAGATGTGCATTATGTTTATGCAATAAGCTATCTAAATGCATATAGAAAAATTTTCTAATAATGGCTGCAATATGTTTATTAAAAATATTAATAAAAAAATGATTTCACAATCAACCAGTTTGTTTATTCAAACAGTAACCAATTAATATAACACATGTAAATTAAATTAAATAACGAACTTAGTACACTCCTACCAAATATTGGTATGAGTGTGACAAAATTTTCGGAAATTAAAAAAATGATATTGTGGTTAAAATCAAAACTTAATTTCATTATAACAAACAAACTGTGATATAAAGAAGAAACTAACATGAAAGCAATAACAAAAAAATTTACCATTATACCAATCCTTACGAAACAATTATTACTGTATTATTACTACTAGTAATAACAGCTATTATTATTAATTATTAACCAAACATCCTTAGTACAGTTTAAAAAAACTGTATAAACTTTAACTTTTATAATTAAGCTGGTGGTACCCAACCACCAAATGCTTTCTCCAATTCTTGTGCTACAGCAATACAGATGTGATCATTATATGGAGCTGCAACAACCTTAAACAGAACAATTTTATAATTAACTAAAAGAAAATTACTTCGCAATTGAAGTCTACTATAATTCTAAGTATGTACAATATTGATTGTGTGAAAGAAATGATAAATAATATAGCAATAATTAATATTAAATTTCTTACCTGGATACCAATAGGTAGTCCATCCTTGCTTAAACCAAGGGGCACTTGACAAACTGGGAATTTCAGAATATTGAAGAGACACCAGTAACCAAAATTGAAAGGTCTGAAATAAGCTGTATAGTGATAACTAGCTGGAAAAGGTGCTGATGGATACAGTAACACTCCATTATCCTTTAATTTATCCTAAAAGTAAAAATACATTATATCATTTTAGTGCTCGATTTTAGCTTTGCAGTCTCCAAATTAAAACTTACCAGTAAATATTCTTTCATATTTTCAGTTATATTCTTTGCCCATTCAGCATTTTCTTTTGGAAAGAAATCTTCGTCGATTAACTTCATAATCACGGCAAATGTATATTCTGATTTTCCAGTTAATAATTTCATGATTTCCGTAGTAGCATTTGTGCAATACTAAAGCAAGTATTATTTTTGTTATAATTAGCCCAATCGTTAATTACATAAATATAAAAATAATCACATACCTTTTTATTTGTTATATTCAATTTAAAGTTGACACCTTCTTCAGTCATCCAGTACCTCCAGAGTCGGTAACTATATTCAGAACCTGGTATTTTTACCTGTAATAAATACATACGATAAGAAATACTATGTAACAATCAAACTTGTATAAGTTTTTAAATTTTTCATATACCTTTGTTGCTGATCCAGTAAGTTCTTTAAGATGATGCACAGCTTTTAGAAGAGCAACTCTCATTTCGGAATTTACCTTACTTGCTCTTATATCACCTGAACTTTTTTGATAAAAAATATTAAGAGTCTTCATGTTTACTGGTGTATCAAGTTTCAGTAATGATGCTTTTTCTCCTACTAAAACTTTTAAAATAGGTGCCAAATCTTCTGCCTTTTTACAGATTGGACCTGCTTGTGCCATAGAATTAGGAAAATCACTTTGTCGAAGTCCAATACCTTTTAATGATATTAAACCTGAAAAATAACTTCATTAGTATTATGCATTATAATAAAATACCATAATAAGGTAACTATTAAACACCTGAAGTTGGTTTGTAGCCAAAAACACCATTAAAGAAGGCAGGCATTCTAGTAGATCCACCAATGTCACTGGCAATAGAAAATGCAGAGCCACAAGAAGCAATTATTGCTGCTTCTCCCCCACTGCTTCCACCAACGTTCCTAGTAGTATCATATGGGTTACAAGTTTGTCCATATAAAGTGTTCCTTGATTCAGTCCACAAATTTAGCTCAGGAACATTTGTTTTTGCTATTAAGATTGCACCAGCCTTTTTTATAGACAGTACTGCTGTAGCATCTTCTTCAGAACGATAATCACGTCTACTGACTAAACCCATTGTATGAAGCATGCCTAAATAATTATTTTTATTATCATTGTATAAATACCATTTCAGTAATTTCTAAATTATTTCTAATTGAATATATTACCTTTAGCTTCATTGCTTTCTTTTGTTGTAAAAGGTACACCTAAGAAAGGCTTTTCTTTCTTGAGTGCATCAGTATTTTCTGACTCCTGTAACAATTTGTCTACCTGTTTGGCTTCTTCCAAAGCTTCCGAATATCTATCTTCAACTACAGCATTTATTATATTGTTTACTTCCTTTGCTCTTTCTATAAATGCTGTAACAACTTCCACAGATGATACCTTTTTTATTCTACAAAAATGTTTGCATTCATACTTATTTTATGGACTTATTTAATCAATAACATTAAACAATATTAATATAAATATTACCTTATCTTTTCAGCTAACTCCGATGCACTCATCAACAATAAATCATTTTTTATCGGCGGAACTTTCTTTGACTTATTGTTATAATAGAATCCAAAAACAAAGTCTATCAGACAATCGAATACTCTATGAAATTGGATGATCAAACATTTTATGAAATATCTTAAGAAATTCATGAATGTTTCAAACACTGAATGACATGTATCATTATTCTAAAAATTAAAATAATACTATTAGAAACAATGAAATTAAACATTTATCGTGATAAATACATTTACTTATCAAATTACATAGTAAATACATTTATCGAATGAATACTTTCAGTATAATATTTACATAAAAAATTTTCTGAGTTACCTGATATTTTTTGTTTTTTACTGAAGTACACATCTTGGTAGGAATCGAAAAAGTTATATTATTTGTATGAACTATTATACAATTAGGGAATTAACTCAGCAACATTGATAACTGCAGATTAAATATTCAATGAGGATAAAGGGAAGTTCAGTATACAACATTATAATCCTGACCAATCCTGATCTCACTTGGGCACTGATATTTACTTAACAGTTTCGCGCCCGGTTAGGTATTTATATCACCATCATCTCGTAATAAAGAGGGCGATATAGAGAACTTTTAAAATATACAAAATTCAATCGCCGAAACAATACTTAAGAGAATATATTGTAAAGTAAAAGTCTGAAATTTAGGGCTAGAGTTAAACAAGGAGATATTTATTATAATGTCAACTTTATGTAATATGTATATTGCAACGGTACCCTAAAAGAAAATACAGTATACAGTCCTGGGCATTACAGCATTAATTAGTTCGGCACTTGTCAATTCGTGATCGCCCTTGTTAATGGTTAATACAGGTGAACGTAAATAAATCTCTTTACTGATTGGATAATCTAATAATTTCGTCAATACAATTTAAACGCACTTAAAACGAATTTAAGATGTTTACTTGATATATAATGAACATTACAGTCGTCTAGAGAAATATTGAGAAATATATAAAATGCAGAAAATTAAAAGAGAAAAAGTGGTATGTAAGAATAAAATTTTACGTTACAAATTATATAACAATTATTTAAAATTGAATTACTTTTAGAATCAAGCTATTGAATTACTTTGGTCTCAAAAAGGTGATGAGACACGAAGGAGATCAAAACTACAGGAAGCAGAAAAATCTCAGGAAATGAGTGCACAATGTAAAATAATGCATTGTTATAAAAAAAGTGAAAAGCAATATTCTACAAGCTTTTCAAAACATAGAATACTTTCTGAAATGAAATCGCATGTCATTCAGAAAAATTGGAGTACAGTTAGAAATTTGTTTTTATTATTACTGCATTTCTCCATAGACCTAGAACCACTGATGTGGCGTTATATTTTTATATTAACACTGTACAGTAATATTGATAATTTGTCTAATATTTCTCAACTTCTTAAAATGTGTATCGGTTGTCTGGATTCAGATAGGGATCTAATATTAAGAAATTTATTGCTATTATCAGCTTGTAAGAAATGAACTTTTATACATTTTATGTGAATAGTTAATTATTCATTTTATAACAAGCAATAAATTTATATTTTTGATAACTAATGTTTTGTTATTTATATTTTACAATTCGACCGTAACACCATCTATACAAAAACGGCGCAAACTACTCGACTAGTTACCGCTCGATTTCTCAATGGGCCCACTGGCGCCCTCTATCGGAGAGTAGCGGAAATCACAAGGCAACTTACCGACTGCCGAAGGAATGGTCGATAAGTCGGTAACTTGTCGAGTAGTTTGCGCCGTTTTTGTATAGATGGCGCTACGGCCGAACACGAAAGTTACCATCCTAATTATGCTAATCGACCAAGGCGAGCCTAGAATCTTCCAGATCACAAGGACGTGAATAGATAATGGGAGTAGTAGGATATTTTTTCCTTCAAACTCCCCGTACCTAAGGGAAACCTACGTTGCACGCTACTATTCATAACAAATATATAGGACACAGTATATATATATATATTATCTAGAACGTGCCATCTATTGGAGAAAAGTAGTACGATTTTGCAAGTATTACATTATTCCATAAACATTCAGTTTATCTTTACCCTTCTTGCCCGTTCGAAGACATATTTCTAACAAGTGTTCAAAAGTATTTATATGAATAATTCATAATATTATAAAATATAGTGTTGATGGTGTTCATGTATAAAGTGCATTATATGTTCAAACAGTTGAGATTAGATAATAAAATGCACGCTCAAGGAGTGAAACTAAAAGATACGTCGTAATTCATGTTTGATGTCTTTCTTATCCTTCCATACAAAAAATGGATTTTGGTACATTGTTAAGCGTAGCACAGAAGAATGAAAACAACAAGCAGGTTATTATATTTCCTTTGTTATATGTCTTTACATATATACTATTTTAATTGAACTCTTTAATTCTTTTTACAGCCGATCGCCTGCTATCAAACAAAATTCGCTCCACCCAAAAAGCCAAATAAGCAGGCCAAAACACTTTCGGAAAATATAAAGAAGTTTCTAGCTCGTAAGGAAGAGGAAGAAAGACGAAAAGCCTTAGAAGAAAAGAGAAAAAGAGAGGTATACACGTCTGATTAAAAAATTCGTAAATTCTTATTCTTTACATATGTACATTTAGAACGGTTTTATTATTGTTCTTTTTTATTTTTTAGAATTTATTAGCACTACGCGATCATAAAGCACAAAGTCGGATAAATAAACATTTGAAAGTATGTAAAGCAGCAAATAAATCTGTATTGGCAGATGCAGTTGACAATGAGAACACAGCTGTTACAATGGCAGGTATGAAATAGTATTACATAAGTGAGATAATATTTAAGATGTCCAAAGTTTATTTTTCAAAATGTGATCATCTTTAAAAAAATGTATGTCTAAATTTTAGAAATTATGAAACCTCATGTACTATTTTGTTGCTAAGATATATAGATCTAACTTTCAATGAAATGCACTACTAAATTTCATTGTGCCACAAACAATACTTCTGTTATAATTGTAGTAGATGCTGTTTTTTTGCAGGTAGAAATGATGAATTAGGATTTGCAAATTTAAACTCATTCTGCATAATTTGAATTTTTATGTCAGTTAATAAAACTTATTAAAATTGGAGATGTAAATAATTTAGTTCTTATATAAAAGATTGAGATTTCAGTACTTTTCTTTGATATAATTACTGCTGCCAAATAGCAGCGTATAAAATCAATTTTTCGCTACAATCAACATGGATATAGGTTGTAATCTCTGAAGAAATTAATACAAAGCTGTGTGTGATCTTCGTATTAACGAGTATTTAGGAGTACTAGTCTCTATTCATAATGGGCAGTGTTTTTGCCCACAGGTAATTGAGTATGAATATGTACAATCAGCGCAATGCCTTCTTACTTATCCACCGTCCATCAGGGCAGTGGGATTTTGTGGATTTACATGGCAGAGGATTCCAAGCAATTAAGGTCAGAGTAAATATAATTCTAGTGTAGTCTAGAGGACTGACTCTAGATTGATTATTTTTATTCATCAAAATGTCTCTTCCGTTTATTACATAAAGTAAGAACTGGTAGTATTATCCGAGCAATTCTAATTCTGATTCTAATTAGAAACTAAACCTTGTTTATTATTAATATATTTTGGAACAAACACAGTTGTTCTGGATAAATAATCTTCGCCTATCAACTGAAATCATTTTTGGGGAGGTATCTATTTTCAAAGGCATCGTTTCTACCTCCATATAATACTCAAAAAAAGTCGTTTTGTATAAAAAACGAGGGATTCTAAATGTTATTGAATCCTTCCGCTGGATGACTACAGGAATGACTCCTTAAAAAATACTTTTAATTTTACAGTGAAAGTTGTAATAATAACGTATCTGCGCTAGAATCTATTAAAATATTTCGTGTGTATGATGCGTATCATGCTTATGAATTTTAACACATTCTTTCGAGCGGCCATTAATTACTCACAATGCGAAAATCATTTAGCAATTTCCAATATTATCATTTATTTCAATTTATATGAGTTTTTCTTCAAAGAGAATACAATTTATTGTACTAGGTAATAATACTATTTAATATGTATCAAAAGAAAAGGTCAAAAATAAAAATTACGTCGACGATAAACTTAACAAACATATGACTCACAGTTTCAAAGAAAATAATTATAATGTATAATAAAGGAAACAATGGTTCTTGTTGTCAAGAATACTTCATTTTATATAATTTAAGAAAATGATAGTTACTAAGATATTAAATTAATTGTACCTTCCTTGAATATTCTGATGCAATTTGCAGAATGTTTTCTGCAATAAGTTATTCTTCTTTTCTAGTAAATGCAGGAAAATAAATTATATTGACAAAAAAAGATCAAATGGAATTGTAAAAATATGTGCAAAATTATTAAATTGGAAATACTTGAAAAATATTCTTTATCTGCTTATAGGTCCATCTCAGCCTGATGAAGATGATTATGGCTACGTATCACAGGAGGCCTCCGCGTTTTATAATCAGTTAATGAGTAAATACAACAGTATGCCATCGCAAAAAACAACTGCCAATGATAGTCGGAAAAGGACAATAAAGGATATCGCATCTACAAAGGTACTAAAACATTTTTTACTTACAAATTTCAAATTGCACATTCAGACTTTTAATACGTATGAATTCACATGTTTACATTTAAATTAATTAAATGTGATTTTAGGATAGAGTGAAACAAGCTTTAAAGCAACAGGAGGTAGAAGAAGCTCTAGGACATCGTCGAAAAAGAAAATTGTCCACGAAAGAAACAGAAGGTGAAGCGGAAACAAAAACTGAAAGAGATGATAACGAAGATAGAAAAGAGAAAGATGAAAAACCGAAACCCAAAAAGAGATCTATGCCACCACCAATCGATTTCAGTGAATTACTGAAAATTGCAGAAAAGAAACAACACGAACCGATTGTTATTGAAGTAAAGCCAAAAAATGAAGAACCAGAAAGACTATTAACAAAGAAGCAAATGAAAGAATATGCGAAAGAGAAGGAGTGGCGAGAACGAAAGGAACAGCGAAGTAAAGCTAACAATACGACCAATAAAGAGGCAGTTCCAAATCCGCCTATTAAGCCTAATAAAACACAAGAATCTTATGTGAATGATACAAACAAAATTTCTAAAATACCTGAAAAGCCAACCACAACGTCTTCAATTTTGAATAAAACTTTAAAAACGCCAACAGTTGCACAGCCTCAACCTGCCAAAAAACCCATTGAGAAACCTGTTCCGAATAAACCTACTGTAAATAAGCCTAATGCATCAAAATCAGAGAAAGATTTGATTTTAGAAGAGCGAAAGAAATTAGAGATGGAAAGGAAGAAATTAGAAGAAATGAGGCAAGCTATCGAAGAACAAAAGAGAAAGTTGAAATTAAGTAAAAGTAAGATTGAAGATATTAAAAACACAAAATCTGAGAAAACAGTGCCGAAAGTGAAAATTCCAGAGAAACAAGATTCATTGAAAAACATACAGAAACAAATTCCAACGACGAGCGTAACGAAAGCTTGTCGTCCACCTCAAATGGATGGAAAAATAAAACAATTCCCACCGGCTGATCTTAAATCCATTAAGCCTAAGCAACTACCTCCTTTGAAGGAACATAAAAAACCAATGGGTGTTAATAAACGTAAGTATTTAAATGTCTTCAAAATCTGTGATTTTGTATTCAATAAACTGAATAATAAACTTTCAGGTCGTATACGAGACGATGATGATGAAGAGGAATACGACTCGGAACTTGATGATTTTATTGATGATGAAGTAGAAGATGGTACCGAAGATTATAGTAAATATATCAGTGAAATATTTGGTTACGATAAAAATAGATATAGATGCGTGGACCATGATGATGTAGCTATGGAAAGTAGTTTTGCACAACAGCTTAAAGAAGAATATGTATCTACTAAAATAGGTAACATTTATACATATAGTATTTATATAGACGTGTAATTTTGTAGAATTGGTTAAACATAATTATATTTCCTATAGGTATTATGGAAGATTTGGAAGATATGCGTATGGAAGCTTTGGAGAAAAAGCGAAAAGCACTTCTAAAGAAAAATATAAAAAAGTGATTATAAAACTGTTTATAAATTTTTATTAAAGTCTATTTAATAAACTATTATATAACATCTGAATGTGCTTTTGTAGTATCAAAAACCGTAAAATTTTTATTTTTTTTTTTTTATACTAAAGATATTTGACCTTCTGGAAATTGATATTAATTTTACATTGCATTGTTATCTTTTTTTTTCTTAAGTGTTTGTACTTCAATTTATTGCGATCGAGGGCCGTACGCACTTTGAAACAAACTGAAACTCCTGACAACGTAAATCTACTTCGATCGAGCTCAAACTATTAAATAAAAGAGACCATTTTTATTATATCAAAATTTTGTTGTTTAATATTAAAAATATATATATATATATATATTTCTTAGAAATCGTAGTTGAGTAACTTGCTATTACATAAAGAATTATATCGCAATATTTTGATTATAAGACAATTTAAACGAAAAGCACAATAAATTTCAATTACCAGCAGTTTGAGCAATACAATCCAGTATATGCGCTACATACATTATTATATCCTTTTATTCTACATTTTGGAGGTCTACAATTAAAAATAAAATACAATTATTATAAATGTATTTTCTATTAAAAAATATATTATTACATTTTAACATATGCAGCGAAGAATACTGTAGAAAAAGAGTAGTATAAAACGTGTTATTAATTAAATCTTCCTTTTTTCCTGTTTTATCTTTTATTAACATAAAACATATCTTGTTTTGATTATCTGATTTATACTACTATCATATATTATCATATACATATATATGATACATATTGTATATATATATATATATATCACGTAACAAAATAAATATATTGTTTTTAGATATTACGCTTAGGTATAATGGTTCGCATTGAGGTAGATAAAATTAGCCAAAGATATCCATAAAAAACGCATTTCTAGACACCACAAACATCAATCTCTTTTAGCAAATTTTATTATTCGTTGTACTTTAAGAATGAAAAAGTTTAAAAAAAAAAAAAGTAATTTATCAACAATCGATGCGATGAATAATAAAGCTGATTTCGCTGATAACATCATCATTTCAAAAATAATCATTTAATAACTCAAAATATCGTTTATAACGAAACAATTACATTTTTTTTTTAAATAAAAAGAAAATTATATGTTTGCCCCCTCAAAAAAGAAAATATTACACTCAATAACGTTAATAATAAAATATAATTTTTAAAGTTTACAATACCTTAATGGAATTGGTATTTCTTAAAATATCAAATGTTGGGAAATATATCTGTTGTACTTGTGGCCCATTATTTTATAGATGAGATTTCTAATTTGAAATATTAAAAGTATGTCGAGTGTGTTTATAGAATATAAAGGCACTTACGAAAAATTACGAAAAATGAGTTGATTATTATATTTAACTGGATCGTTTAAACTATATCCATTGTGTTATAAAAAAATATATGAAAATTCTAATTTTATGAAAGCAATTAATGGTAACATCAAGTTCTGATACTTCAAGATCACCTGCATCATTGTTAATTAAATGTTGTATCATTAAAACAAAAAGAGTAATGAGAACAATTGAATGGGATCAATACAAATTGTCTTATTTTTCTTCATTCAATGTAAAATAGAAATTCGAATATATTATATATGCTTTCTACTTCTGCTACAACTATTATAATGACTCTGTTATAAATATTTAATTTAAATATTATTAAAAACTTCAATCGTATTGATTAATCGTACACAATGTAATAATAAATTACTCTTTAAAATCAAACATTTCTTTTCCTAGGCACTTGTTTATAGCGCTAAGAACGAAAATCCTTTAAAATCATCTAATTAAACGAAATACCCTGTCCTGTAATTTGATCATTTTCTTTTATGATGGTAAATTGGAGCTTTTAACAAAAATTCTAAATGGCATAAAATCATTTCAGATACAAAAATCACATACATACGTACTCACACATACACATTCATTTACATAACATAATAGTTATTTTACTTCAAACAATAATAACATCACATCAAAGTATAACTGTATGTAAAAGTATTAATTTTAATTGATTATATAAAAGCCTTAAAAATATCTACTTTAATTAAATTCTTTCCATCAATTTCGACGTACAGTATTTTCTAAATTACAATCATAAACGGATAATAAAGACTTTCTAATATCAAAAACGAAACAATTTATAGAGTTCTTTGGAAAGGATTACCATTTCAATCATTATAGAAACATATGTACTTGCTAATATTAAACTTAACTGTCACATTCAATATTTCATTTTCATATGTATAATAAAATATACAAAAAAAAGAGAACATTAAAACAATACTTTAAACGATATAGTAATGATCTTTTACAGTATATGCTGTACATCATATAATAATCACATACACAAGTTATCAAAAGCTATGAAAAAACATCATATTAAGTAAATTTAATTGAATATATATACGGTATTTATATAAAATATTATGGAAGCTTGACATAAATAATAAGCGACCTCCTTGTATTTTATAAGTTATACTACGTGTAACACGTAAAAAAAGTGTCTAAATCTGATAAGAAACTAACTATATATGCGCTTCAAATGATATTTACAAATAACTTAAAGTAAATATCTTTTTAAAAATAAAATTTCTTTCCAAAGCCTTTTTTCATTAACCAATTTTATCACTCGTATATTGCATCTTAATCAATAACAATTCGAAACAATATCTTGGTAGTCTTTAAATAAAAATAAAAAAAGAAAATTAAAAAAGCCTTCTTGATAGCCAATATTAATTGTTAATTATTAACAAGAAACTGCGTTAAATAGTACTTTTTCATATGCGCACAATATTATAACTTTCATTACGAACATAACAAATATGACATTATAAAAAAAAAATTTTATATACAAGATAACCCACGTATGTATATGTACATAAGTAAAAATATATAATGCATACAAATTTGTAAATGTTAAAAAAGAAACACAAATTGACAAGGATGTGCATTATATTTGTTAACTGAAAGATATCAATTTAAAATTTTTATCAAAGTGTATTATTTTTTCAAATAGATGCTATTCTGTTAGTTACCTCTTCTGTTGTTGCATGAAACAATCCTCTGGAATGCAGTATATTTTTTATCTTATGTACATATACGCACACGTATACGACAAGTGCACATCGATGCATACACTTTCACACAGGTTATATACAAGATAAAGAAAAAGAAAAAGGGAGAATAAGAAATAGGAATGCAGCGCTTTAGCGAGAGAGAATCGATGATACGTTTCGTTATAGCTGAATGCAATTAGTGCATCAAAGATTTAAAACCTTTTATCTCTTTTTGGCATGAACTGTACGAGTTCTACTAAAAACTAATTAATAATTAAATCAATAGAAATATCACAGATGAAATCGAGAACCAAAAATTTCTAATGTACATATAAAAATAAGTAGTTTATATTTGGTATTACAAACTATTGAAATTTGTAATGAACTATAACATTGCATAGTACTGATACTATTAATTATTTTCAAATGCTCGAAACATACTTAAACAGTGTGTTTTTCTTTTCTATTTCATATTCTTGGTTCCCGATCTCCATATAAAATATTCTGTTCATGATTTATGATAAACATAATATCGTGTAAATACACCGCTTCTTCCTCGCATTTTTCTATGCGCATGTATGAATATTTATAGCAAAAACTCTGGCATATTAAAAATCATCGATACCACCATCGGGAACACCGGCTCGTACTTTGTCCAATACTCTGTTGACAAATTCAGTGGAGTGATTTGCTATTCTTATTTCTGTAAAAAAAAGAAAGATAATAACAAAAAATATATTTTCATAATTTTCTTATGCAGAAATAAATTGGTTACACTGACTCGTGGCTAATTTAAAACATTTTTCCATCTGACGAGTTAATTCCTCTTGATTTTCAGGATTAGGTTCCGTTAATTTTGCAGCAAGTGTTTGTTTAGCCTGAGAAATACCATGAATTAATCTTCCTGTAAAATAAGAGTTATTAAAAGTACCTTTAAATTTTTAAACGAAGAAAAATTAATTTATCCATATCAAATACTGAACTGTGCTCTTGTTCAAGGCCATGTAATTTTATTTTGTTCGCTTCGTGTTGAGCTTTTTTCTTTAACCGACAGGCTCGAGAAGCAAGTTTATTCTTTTCTTTGCGTGTCTTAGGCCTTGCTGTAAACGGTAATTCCGAAACGGGTGTCATGTCATTGATAATGCGAGACAGTTTGTCCAATTCACGACCAATACTATACAATTTGCGTGGATTCGGTGTAAGGTCATTTCCATCTCCTTTTCGTGCCTTTCCACTGTGTTTGATTCCACGCAGTGCACAATGGGGACTGAAAACGGGATCTGTCGCCTCGTTTAAGACATGCGGATCTTCAAGACGCGTTCTAGCAACAAGCCTTTGTCCTTTTGGTCCTTTTGCTTGAACATTATATTGCCAAAAATATCGTTCCTTTTTGCTATGTTTACCATCTCGGTTTGAATCGAGACTTCCTACTCTGTTACTACTGTTTTGATCTTCACCATCACTGCCACCTGTATCTACAGAAACATGTATTTCTTAATTAATTTCAAAATGCACATAAAAATAAAATTTATTTATAAACGATGAACTACCATTATCACTGCTGTAATCGTCGTAATGATCACTATCTTCATCACTGTCGTCATAACCCTCATCATGACTAAGATGATCAGTATGATAAAGCGGATCAGGACTAAGCGCACCCCCGGTGCTTAAACTACTCGTTGAACCTGCTTCAACAACTCCAAGACTACCGGTACTTAATAAATGTGGCCTCGGTTCTCTACGAGCCCATATCTGTTCCAGTCCCATTGTTCTGGTTGGTGCGGACATCGAAAGTCTAGAAACTTTAGATTTATTGTTTGGACACCCAATATCTATTTGTCCACATTGTGAATTGTCAAACGAATTTTCGCATCGTTTCATTAATAATTCGTGAAGAGCAGATTGTCCGTTAGGCCTGTTCATAGGATGCGGGGATGTCGAAGAACTTGCCGTTGAACTACCTTTAAAAAAATTATTTAAAAATATTATTCCAGTACGTATAAATAAATTTGTTCAATAAATTATAATACATTGTTGATTCAAGCTACAATATAAAATTATATATAAACCTGCAACATTGCTAGTTCCTGGACTCGGGTAAGTATTGGGGCTAACTGTTTCCAAATTATCAGCAACATTGATGTTTATGTTCAGATTGAATCCATGGGTATTTATATACGTTGGACAGGCATTACGGTATGCTGATCCAGACTGTGGAAAACTACTTGGAGCAAAAGCACTATTATCATTAAATAATGGTCCAACTGGTTGAGCTACATTAACATCTATTTTAAACGGTTGTACCCTCTCTTCTGGTAAGAGTAAATCGTCAAAATTTAAATCACCAAGGAGTGTCTCGTCATTGGCATTTAATTCGGCCAATGTAGGACCTTGAATAAGGTCAGCTTTATCTACTTGAAGGATGTCATCATCCTCCCATCTTTCTGTCTTAAAAAAATCATCTATTTCATCAGAATCCATCTTAAATGGAGATTCTAAGTGTTCTGCTTTGTTTGGCCATACTGAAGCTAAAGGAGACGGAGAGAACTGATCGTATACACCTCTAATGTTTCTATGCCCTCCTGGTATCGGTACCGACGCTGATTGGGCCATTTCTTGAGTTGGTTCTTGCTTTATTATTCCATCCATCGGGCTAATTTTAGTTCCCACAAATATCTCAGAATATCCAGATTCTCCAACTAACAATATAATTTTAATATTAATTATATTACAAATAAACATTTATTAATATGTAGTTAAGAAGAAAAATAATAATTCAATTACTTAAGATCTAATACAAAATAAGACTTACCAGTATTTTTTTTTGTTTTCTTTTGGTAAGTCAATTACTATGTACTAGTCAAATTTTGTATTCTAAGTTTTAAAATAATTACAAAATACACAATCTTTAAATGAAAATGAAAGCCAATGTATGTAACACGCTCTCGGTATTCAATAAACAGTACAAGTTAAAGCTAATTGTGAGATTTAAAACGATGGTTCATCCATTTGCATATTCGTGGTATTATAGATTGATGATCGAAATCTGCACGCTTACATGGTACATCGAATACCCTCTGATGAAATAACCATGACTTTCGTCAGCAAATATTTTTCCTGGACGAGGACATTGTCTCGTGAAATTTTCCCAAGTTAATATTTTGACAAATTCGATTTTCTTCGCACGTGTTAAATAGAATATGTCGAGAAGGAAGGATAAACGTTGGAATCAATTTCTTCACCACTCTGTTCAGCTACGCACCAAAAATTCATACGATCCAATCGTAAAACACAGTTTGTTATTGTTTTGCCACAAGATTTCGAGACAATATCACTGATATTAACATAAATAGGGAATGATCACATGACAAAAGTCGAGTACTCAGCCAATGAAAATATCCAACCAATCACGAACATACCTTTTACTTGTCCGTCATTTACGATTCGTGAATTTAATGACAATTAAAATATGATAAAATGAATAATTTATCTAATAGAAAACTTTGTTAACAATGTATAATATCGTGGAAGTTGTTAGAGATAAGTTGAAAATGAATTGATAAAGAACATAACATTTATTGTTTCCGATTAAAATCAATAAAGACAAAATTGTTAAGAAAAAAAGAAAAAATCAAAGAGGACAAAAATAAGAGAAATCATTATTTACAACAAATAAAATTATAAATAAATATGGTGAAATTGTATAATGCCAGATGTGGTAAATATAGTTTAGCTTGTCCTTCTTAAAAAGATATAAAAAGAAATGGAAGCAGGAATTACTACATAATGATGTCTTTTAAAGATAACTCAACAATATTTTTCAAGTATCCTGATTGTATGTACATATGTATAGGCAGGGGGGATGTAGGCTTCTTTTGGTTTAGAGGAAAGATAGGGGAAGGAGCCTTCTTCTATTTGCTTTTGATCTTGAAAAATTTCTGAGAAAACCTTGAGAAAGCCTTGGAAGAACCTCGGGAGAACCTTGAAGAATTTTATTAGAGTCTAACCTAGTATCTGCTTTCTTTGCAAATAAAAAATATGATTAAATAAGAAGAGTGGTGGGAACATTCCTTCCATCACGTTTCCCCTAATCGAGGGGAATCCTGGTTGCACAAACTGTACATACAACGCATGCATATGCAATGCATATTACATGCGTTTTGTATACCAAAAACAATTTTATATTGTTCATAAGTAAATAAATTACCTATACATATGTATGTATAATAAATATAAACAAAAATTAAATATTGTTATTCACTTTACATAAAAATTAGAATAATATAAAGCAATGTTTATATTCTTCTAACGTTTTTTTTGACTTGCTGTGGATAAAGTATGTAATATTCATAATATTTATAAAAAATAAATTGCATACTCATTGTCAGATCAAGGCAAGAATTATCATTCGATTACTTTCAAACTATACATAGAAGATAACTATGATTGTACGGACATTGTATGTGTATTGGTACAAGTTCTGTTAAATAGAACGGTAGAATTTAATGTTGTTCTTGTATATGTGTCAGAAATTACTGAAATAAAAAAATATATTCAGTGAGAATAAGTGATATGTATAACGTAAGTCAAATAACCTAATGTATTCTTATTTCTTATTGAACAGTGTATCATTTGTTACAATACTAACATGGCTGGTGACAAAGTAATCGGTAGTTCATCAGTCGTAAATAGAGAAAAAGTACACCAGGGTGGTGCTTATAATGTAAACCTAAATTTGGAAGATGAATTTACCGAATCCATCGAGTACATCCCTTGTCCTGAATTTCAATTTTCGGTAAGGTATTACACAATTATTATATTTCTCCTTTTTGTCATTAACATTCAGTGTCAAAGAGAGATCGTCTTTCTGTTTCTGTGAAATAAATTCAATTAATTAAAACAAATAATAATATTTTTTCTACATAGTTGTGTAGTGTTTTCTGTTTTATATACGGTAATAATAAACAAAAATTACACAATAGTATTGATCATCATAGTTGAATTTTCTAATTTATGCATTTGTTTCAGACAGTAACTTGTTGTTTCTGTAATGGATATTATGGGCCATGTTTTGGAGAACCAGTTTGTGCAACATGTCACGCATTTTTATTTCCTAATGATGTCGGTCTTCTACAAGTTCCCATTTTCAGTGAAGTATGTTATTTAAGTTTTATACATATATATGCCTGCATGCAACTGAAGTTCATTTATTTAGATTTTACAATTTTGTTAAAATAAAAGAAGTTCAATTAAATAGAATACACGCTTAGTTATGTACAATAATTAATATAGTATTTTAAAAATATTTATCTAGAAAACAGATGATGAAGATTCAGGAAATGATGAACCAACAGAACTCTATTATAATCATGAAAGAAGAGCCAGTCAACAACAACAAAATTCACCACAGAATGCAAACTCAAATGTACCAAACATATCACATATTTCTAATCCTAGCTCTCATATATCTCAACGTATTCACTTGCAAAATGACAATATTTCAGCCACACAGAAGGTACATTATGGTATAAATCCATATAACCCAAAAAGTGTAGTTGCTATTTCTCAGAATGTGCCCCTTGTACATGATAATCACTCTGGTAATGTACAAAATATGATAAATGGAAATAATGATAATCGAAATGAAAATTGTAAAGAAAAAGTTTCTACATTTAATTCTCAATGCACAGCAGAAAAGAAGCTACACGGCATAGTTCCATTTCCGAAAGTTAAAGAATTAGAAAATTATCAGCATTATCAATGGAATTACAAAGCACATGATGATGTAGGAGAGCCTTCAAGATCGTACAGTTTATCCGAACGATTAGAAATGTTAACAAATTACAAACACGTTGAACATGAATCTGTTTCTGAACCAAGCTTGGTGGAAAGGTTACCACCAGAAGTGTTGTTAGTTGTTTTCTCTCATTTGGATGATGTTAGCCTTTGGTCGGCTGCAAATGTTTGCCGCAGATGGTGCGGTTTGTTATCCACCCATGTAACACCACAACAATGGCAACAAAATGTTAAACTACGATGGCCTTTGTATAAACCCATTGGTTCTGTCAAAAATTGGTATAAAGTGTATGACTTTTTGGCTTCTTCGGCACCTTGTAGAACATGTTTGGCACAAACCTGTCTTAGATCACGATCTCCGAGAATCCAAGAAAATTCTTGGAGAAGAAACCGACTTCATAGTGAACTTAAGAGCTTGAGAATAGATCCTCCCGAGGGTATCGAAGCGACACCCTTAGATCAAATGTGTTGCCATTGGCAAGCTACAATTACTGGGCCTGTAGGAAGTCCATACGAAGGAGGCTTGTTTTATCTTTATCTACAAGTACCATGCAGGCATGTATAGTTTTTCTCTTTAATATACAGAATTATAAAACATGCAGATTAAGTAATGTATTCTAAAATTCTTCCTTAATTTTTACAGTTATCCCCTGTATCCACCAATAGTAAGGTTTCTTACAAAGATACTTCATCCAAACGTTTCTAGGCATGGTGACGTTGGTATAGACTCGATACATCATAACTGGTCGTTAGCGTTGACAATTTCAAAGGTATTAATTAGTGTTCAAAGCTTGCTTACGGACCCATATTGTCAGGTAAATTAGAATAATATATTCTTTTGTTAAAAAATATACACAAGTTTGATGATCAAGTAATTATATGTTGTACTAATAATAAATGTATTTAATAGGTTTGTATGGAACCAGAATTGGGTGAAATGTATTTAAATGATCGTGAGAGATTCGACGAAATTGCCAGGGCATGGACATGGAGATATGCTATGCATGATGTTGTCACACCATCATAAAGAAATACAAATAAATTATTTCGTACATACATATGTATTATTCTATTATCTTTTTGTTTAATATTTATTAAATGAAACTCGGTAATTGTTAAGCTTTGTAGCAGTAAATTGTTTTTCCGACAGTAGGTGCAAGTGGATAAAGAGTAATTAACAAAACTATGCTATATCATTATCTTTTATAGAATCTTACATAAAATTGTTAATTAAAATAGTGATACTAATGTGATTTAATCATGCTACATTTAATGTGCTATGTAACAATAGATTAAAACGTACATAGTCTTCTAACATTATTTACAATGAATAAAAACAGATCTATATGTAAATATATTTTTTTATTTTTTATACGCTTTTGTACCTTTTAAGTGAAACTTAAGATTGTTTTAGGCATTTTTTAAAAAAGAGGGGAAAGTGTTTCATTCCGGCATTCGCCAGTAAATTTACCATTACTGATCATGGTTTAGAACCACATGAAAAAAGAAAATATTTCATAAAAAATCTGATTTTATTATATACATATATATTTATTTTTTATTATAATAATTTATTAAAACTTTTGTGTACAATTTGACAAATTCAGGTTCTGTTTCAGCCCAATTTGTCAAATTATGAAACATGCGGTAAATTTCCTCCTCTTCTATTCGACAACAGGGTTGTGCATTAATTTCTTCTTTCTGTTCTGTAGTCTCTTCAATGCTTGCTTCAGCTTCTTCACATTCTGAGATCCATTCTGCTATTTCTGTGGAAGAAATTTCTTCCATTTTGATTTTCAGATCCTGTTCAATATTCTCATCTAAAGGTGATCTATTCAAAAGTTTGTTCCACGAAGTTTTAATGTTTGTTACTGTTATTTCGTTCCATGATTCGTTGATCAAATCAATGCAATCTTTTATGTCGTAATCCGCATAGAATTGTCTAACTCCACCGTCAAACTTGGCCACCCGATTTAGTAACTTATATCGAAACAATTTTTTAAATTTTTCAATTATGCCCTGCTCCAGAGACTGAATGGCCGAAGACGCATAGGACGGTAGAAATATTAGTTTAAAATGAGAATCGTTTTGTGCTTCTTTAGGAAGCATATTTCTTCTAAAATTGTCAACTAGTAATAGCACCTTTTTCTCTCCCTGTTTTTGCTGCAGATGCTGCCTCACGCTGGGTTTAAAATGATTGATATACCAATCCCTAAAAATAGTTTCATCCAATTCAGTATTATTCTCGCTTTTATAGATTACTGGCAGAAGATGTCTGCAATGTTTTAAAGCTCGTGGGTTGGGATACTTATTGACTATAAGCAATGGCAGTTTACACGTCCCAGTGGCATTCGCACAAAACGCTATGGTAATGTGATCTTTCTTCTTCTCTTTCAGTTGTTCTTCGTCGTGCTCCAATATCTTTTGAGGAAGAATTTTCCACATTAGACGCGTTTCTTCCATATTATATATATTATCTTCGTCAATATTTTCCTTAGCTAATAATTCTGTTAATTCCTTTGCAAATTTATCTACAGCTAACTCATTTTCATCTGGTTTCTCTTTATGGATACCTACAGAACGCAAGTTATATCTCTTTTTAAAACGCCACAGCCAGCCGCGACTTGCTGCAAAATACGATGAACCTCCAATTTCTTCGTGTAATTGCTTTGCTTTCTCTTGCAGCATACTATCAGTTAGAGTCTCTCCCGACGCTCGCCTCTCTATAATCCATGCATGTAACCGAGTACTTACATCCTCGTGCAGCGATGCTCTTCTTCTTTTCATACCCATATCTATGGAACTTTCTGAAAGTTTCCGAATTGATGCTGCATTTTTTCTATACCTTTGCATGGTCCTTTTATTAATACCATACTCAGCAGCAAGCTCACGAAGATTTGCACCATTGTCTAACTTTTGGAGAATCTCTAAACGTTTCCCAAGAGTAATTTCCTCCTTTCTTGAAGTTCTATTAGACTTTGTATCAATTAATTTCTGGTCCATTTGAGTAACAAATGTTCGATCCTGTAAAATTTTTTTAAGGGCCAGACGATGCTGCAGTGGTGGTGGCATGATTAATGAATCGGTATCTATTACTTTTTTGTTAAACAAATTCTCAGGAGTAGAATGTTCATTCATCAAATAATGTATGACTTACAAAATTTTTGAAAATCCAGATTCAAGAATTATGATTTAATAACAGTTTATACTCCATTATCAGAGGGCAGCTAATATAGATACAGTCCCAGATTCTGAATTCTTTTTTATTGCATTTCACTCTTGCAAATGTAGTGTCCAAAAATATACAAATTCAATGCACAATAGCAAAAAACTGGACCATCTTCCAATTAATTGTCGCTCTTCCGATTTTGCGACAATTATGGAAGCACCTCTCTAATTAACCTGAAGATATATTCCGCCAGAGGCGCAGTAGTCAACTAGTTGTAGTGGAATGTAAACAGTTCCAACTTTAAAAGATGAAACTCTCTATACTTAGAAAAATTATTATGATTTATATATTTTTCACAAACAAATTAGAGTTTATAATTTCTAACTACAAAAGTTAGAAGTTATAACTTTCAACAACAAAATATAGAAGCTGAAAAAAATGCTTTAAGAGTTTATATTTATATAAAAATACATTATCTTAGAAGGCAATATTAATGATATTTATAAGAAGAGATTTTCATATAACGTTTAATGATATAAAGATAGTTAATCTTGCTCGTATAATATGAATGACTGTATGAGATAATCATAGTTTACTGTATCTCATTTTCTGTTTATCTTGATGGCCATAGTATTCATTGATAATAAGTTTACAAAGAAACAAATGAAATACAATGATAAGAAAGCATATGCTAACCCAGAAAAGTGTCGGTAACCCTCCTAATTGATGTCCATGCTTATGTAAAGCCATTACCAGATGATCATGTGCTGGAGCTGTGAAAAAGAATAGACAAGAAAGACTATGTAGAGTCTTATGTTCTTAAAGAATCATAAGTAATATGTTTTATATTATACTGACCATCATCTATGGCATGTACATGTAAAGCATTTCTCAGATCTTGCATATGTTGGTAGTCAGATGTTATATACAATATAGCTGTCAATGGTTTTGTTAATTTTACTGGGAAGGTTGTGTAAGATTCACTTAAGGAGATAGGTGCATCTAAACACCCTGCATCACAGCCAAAATAGACACTATCGCTTTTGTCTAAAGCTACTCTCAAAACTGCACGATTATCTTCTCCAACAGTAACCGATATATTTAAATGAGTTACGTTGCCGTAACTTATTCTCCTAAAAATTGAATTATTAATTAAATCTCACACTCGAATAGATAAATAAATAAATAAATATCACCTAAATAAATAATCTCGATGAAGATACTGTGGATCAATGTTAAATTCAAGATGCTGATTGCTGAAACGTAAACTACCAAGACTCAAAACAATAGCTTGTTGCACTGCTGCAGGATCACCGGTCATTAAATGATGGCATCCTTGTTTTTCCAATGTTATTAACCACGCTTCTACAACGTTATTCACGTTATCAATAGTCGACGTATCTTTCCATAATCGTGGTGCATCTCTGAAACAGTACAATCAGATATAAATTCCACAAAGAAATATTTATAGAACTTTATATTACTCACAAAGTGTGATGTCCGCGATAACAACCTTCATTCATGATTACATTCTTTTCTACACCTGGTATACCATTTGAGATTTGAGACAATACATAATATATGGTGGAATTTATTTTATGACCATTGATAGCACCATTAGCTTTAGAATCACTTATTCTAAGACCTGTATACCAATAACTTTCCCAAAGCTTAATATGATCATCTCTTAAGTTTTGTTGTTGAACGCCGAGTGCTTTCTTCATTGCCTATTACAAATTATATTCAGTTAATATAAAGATATTTTAATACTTTCCAATTTACATACCTCTATTGCCTTTTTCTTTGTTATTTCATAATGGGTATGGTATTCATCCATAACTATGGGATCACTATATTGTATACATGTCAGAAATTTTAATTTCATAGAACTTCTTGCTTTAATTTGCAGCATTTTAGGTGGAATTTTATAGAGTATTGATATTGCCACAATCTTGTTTGAATTAGACAGTGGAACAAAACCAGAAATTAAATTATACTCATACATGAAGTCACCCACTTGAATTCTAAACAGATAAATATATCATTCACATTACTAATATTTTTAAAGAATATTTAAATACATTAAAGTATACTGTTTAATTACTTAGTAGATTCTATGTGGGAATTACTCCAATGCATAGACATTTGAGGTTTCAATGGTACATTTTGAGAGAATGATAGTGGATTGGTTATCTTCACATCTTGTACCAATATTGCATCAAATATTCTATGAGTATAATACTGAAACTCAGTGTAATATCCTTCTCTCAGGCACTGATAATGATAAACAATCCCATGTGTAAAATGAGTGACTGTAGCTTCCTGATAGGCAATACTTTTGAATAAAGGTGGGGAAATTAATGGTTGCCATGGTACAGGCAATGATAATGCTCTTCCTCTTTTTATGTACATAGAAGCCTCGGGTACAATAGGAATTCCAAACACCCCATTACCAATATATGGTAAATATTGGTGTTCCTTTTCTTTTGGAGGATTATGAAGAATGTTCACATTATACTCTTCAGAATCTGAATGAAATGCAGCTAGCCTTTCATCCATGCACTGATCTTCGAATGCTATATAAATATATAGATTTATATGTATTGTTCATTTATTATAAACTTAATTATATTACCTTGTATTGATTCTCCAGTGGAAGAGAAAATCCACTGTGCAAAAGGTGGACCAAAATAAAGTAATATGCCACCACAAATGATCAGTAATATAAGTATCTTACGATAGGAATAATTTCCGTCAATCAATCGTCGAATTCGTTTACCAAATTCACGACTATCGAACATCCTTCCAGGTCTCATCATAGTGATTAGACGATTTATATACTTCACTCTTTGCGCGTCTTTTTAAGCATTCTTTTATTGTTGTAAGATTGTATGATAACATAACCTTACTTTGTTTTCCCAAAAGTAGAAACAATTTGGAATAGCCTTTATATTATTTTATTTCTTCTATGTATAATAATAAAATTAGACATTTATTAAAATTCTGTAAATTGTAAAACATGTATACATATATGTATTTATGTAAATACGTATCAAGTAAACTGTTGCAAGTTGTTTTCCATACTATTGAAAATACAATAACTTTTATCCAATTTTCATGATTTATGACAATTATAGTCCATGAAGATTACCTATTTGTTGATAAATAATGCGTTCCGTTTGTTCATTTCGGGCTTCCCCCTTTTATGTGTCCATTTCCTTCATACAGGTTGTGACCATATGAGGTTCTCCTCATTAACACTATGTAATTTTTAATTCATATAAAATACAATATAGTATAAGCTTTAATTAAATAATATAATGTTGTAGACAGACAAAATTTGTTTAGAATTACAGTAATGACATTTCTATACCTGAAAACTTGCATCACATGACATGTCTACCCAAAATTGTCAAATCCGAGATGGCACCACTAATAACGAACAACACGTGTTTAAAGAATTCTCTGAATTCTTTTGACTGTTTAAACAGTTATCATAAAAAAACCGGTACATGTCTCCTAGTTGTTTAAAATTGCTGCACCTTACACAGCATAATACCTATGAATTAATTTACAGTAAATAATAAATTGATTATTGAATAACAATTTTTAACCTTCAAAATGGTAAAAGAACAATTTAGAGAGACAGACGTAGCACGTAAAATGTATGTATTTACTTAAAAATTAACTGTACATTTTTCAATTTTCATAAATTTATATTATATTTTGCCTAAAAATACAGTTTATGATATAGTTTCACAGAGTTTTCTGTTATGCAAATTTTATTTTATTTGTTCATATCTATCTGAGTAATGTTGTAATATTGATATTAATTTATTTGTTTTATTCATAATTTTAATTAGCTCCCATGTGTCCTTTGGAGTGGATAGCCGCCACAACATGGAAAGGCAGGCCCATATGCATGTTGTGGCTAAAAATTTATACAATCAGGATGTTGAACATACTCCAGTCCCATATGGAGTTCTTGACAGAAGAATGGTAATTATAAGAAAAGAGTTTCCCTTCTCTTTATTTAATATTCTTTAAAATAATATAAGCAAACTTTCAGGGAACCTGTAATAATACAACCAATTGTGCATCCTGTGGTAAATCTTTAAATGAATGCATTGGACATTTTGGCTACATTGATTTGGAACTGCCTGTTTTCCATGTTGGTTATTTTAGATCCATTATTGGTATTCTACAGAGCATTTGTAAAGTAATTTATCATTGCTTTAATTAATACTTTTATTATTTGTTATTAATAGGAATAGTAATTCTCATATTTTCATTCATAGACTTGTTCTCATGTTATGTTATCCAAAGCAGACAAAAAGCATTATTTAACCAGAGTATTAAATCCCAATTTGGGATACTTAACGCGTAAAGCACTGCGTAAACAAATTTTGGAGAAAGCTAAAAAGACTACAGTTTGCCAGAATTGTGGGGATCTAAATGGAACTGTTAAAAAAGCTGGTTTACTTAAAATAGTCCATGAAAAGTATAAAGCAAAGAAAAAAATAGATGCTATTGTCCAACAAAAACTGGCAGAATATAATAAGGTACTTGAAGATAATAAAGCATTAGAAGGAATACTTCAGAATGGGCTGGTTAATATATTAAATCCTTTAGAGGTAAGAAATGTTATCAATGATAATTTGCTAATATTCATTTTATAAGTTTATGCAAATAGTAAGAATGATATGTAATTTAAGGTACAAAGTATTTTGGATAAAATACCAGAAAGTGACATTCCTTTGTTATTGATGAATCCAGATTGTGCATTGCCAAAAGATTTGATATTAACAAGAATTCCTGTACCACCCATCTGCATTAGACCTAGTGTTGTGTCAGATTTAAAAGCTGGTACAACAGAGGATCACTTAACAATGAAATTATCAGAAATAGTTTTTATTAATGATGTTATTCAGAAACATAGACAAAGTGGAGCTAAAGTACAAATGTATAATGAAGATTGGGAATTCTTACAATTACATTGTGCTCTTTATATAAACAGTGAAATGTCAGGGATTCCCCTTAATATGCAGGTGAGTGTTTTGAATACAAATGTATGTAACTTTCAATTCATTATCACTAAAACGTATTGAAATGTTTTAGCCAAAAAAATCTGGTAGAGGTTTAGTACAAAGATTAAAAGGAAAACAAGGTCGTTTTCGTGGTAATTTATCCGGTAAACGTGTGGACTTTTCTAGTCGTACTGTTATCTCTCCAGATCCTAATCTTAGAATTGAGCAAGTGAGTATAGCTTTACATTTAAACAAATTATTAAATATATTGAAATAACGTATTTTTCATTAGGTTGGTGTACCTATTCATGTTGCAAAAATTTTAACGTATCCCGAGAAAGTTAATCCATCGAACATAGAACTGATGCGAAAATTGGTAAGAAATGGCCCAGATGTGCATCCAGGTGCAAATTTTATACAACAAGGAAAAACGCAATTTAAAAAATATTTAAGATACGGAAATCGTCAGAAGATAGCTCAAGATTTACAGGTAATATTTTGAATTTAAACAAATTTTAATCTACGTTTACGAAATAAGTAAATATACTTATTTTATTTAATAGTATGGTGATATCGTCGAGAGGCATCTAAGAGACGACGACGTAGTATTATTTAATAGGCAACCATCTTTGCACAAATTAAGTATCATGGCACATAAAGCAAAAGTATTAGAACATAGAACATTTAGGTTCAATGAATGTGTTTGTACTCCTTACAATGCCGATTTTGATGGAGATGAGATGAATTTACATTTACCACAGACTGAAGAAGCAAGAGCAGAAGCATTGGTTTTAATGGGGGTAATATGCAAATCATTTTACATTATCTATACATCTTGTATTTACATACAACAGAGTATCATTATATATTTTTTTAGAATAAATCAAATTTGGTTACACCTCGTAATGGAGAATTGTTAATAGCAGCAACACAGGACTTCATCACCGGTGGATATCTTTTAACTCAGAAGGACATGTTTTTGAATAAATCTCAAGCAAGTCAATTAGCTGGTTGTCTCTTGGCGGGACCTGATATTGCTATGCCTATAGATCTACCTGAACCTGCTATTTTAAAACCGACTGTGTTATGGACCGGAAAACAAATTTTTAGTTTAATTTTAAAACCTAATAAACATTGTAATATTAAAGCCAATTTAAAAACCAAAGGAAGAGCTTATACTACTAACGAAGAATTATGTATTAATGATTCTTGTAAGTACAGAGATTGATTTATTCTTTGAAATAATAGGAGAGTAATAAAAACAATATATTCTAGATGTTGTCATCCGAAATTCCGAGTTGTTAGCTGGATCGATGGACAAATCAACTTTAGGTTCAGGTTCAAAACAGAATATATTTTATATTTTATTGCGAGACTGGGGTGAAGATACTGCAACAACAGCTATGTGGCGATTGGCTAGAATGGCAAGTTTCTTTCTCATGAACAGAGGTTTTTCTATCGGAATCGGTGATGTTACACCTGGACAAGGTCTGCTTAAAGCTAAACAAGAACTTCTAAATGCTGGGTATTCTAAATGTACGGAATATATTCGTCAAATGGAAGAAGGACGTTTAGTATGTCAACCTGGGTGTTCAGAAGAAGAAACTCTAGAAGCAATGATATTAAAGGAACTTTCAGTGATTCGTGACCATGCTGGTAAAGCATGTTTAAAAGAACTTCATCCAAGCAATAGCCCCTTAATCATGGCTCTATCTGGCAGTAAAGGAAGTTTCATTAATATTTCACAAATGATTGGTATGTCCAATAAAAATATTTGCAGAAGATTTAAATTTCTTTTGTTAATTAATGTTCTTTCAATTAGCCTGCGTCGGGCAACAAGCTATTAGTGGTCATCGAGTACCAAATGGATTTGAAGACAGAGCTTTACCTCACTTTGAACGACACTCGAAAATTCCTGCAGCTAAGGGTTTCGTGGAAAACTCATTCTATTCTGGCCTAACACCAACAGAATTCTTTTTCCATACAATGGGTGGAAGGGAAGGTCTTGTAGACACAGCAGTTAAAACTGCAGAGACTGGTTATATGCAGCGAAGATTGGTTAAGAGCTTGGAAGATTTGTGTCTTCATTATGATATGACTGTTCGTAACTCAGTGGGAGATATTGTACAAGTATTATATGGTGGTGATGCTTTAGATCCGACGTATATGGAAGGTAAGATATTATTATTTCTAACAGTGATAACAGAGCACTGAAGTAATAACTTTAATAGGAAAAGACTGTCCAGTGGATTACAAGAGAGTGTTAGATCATGTACGAGCAAAATCACCTTGTAAAAATGAACAACCATTGGATGGTCCTAGTGTAATTAAAGCTACAACTGAATTATTAAATTCTGAAGAATATGAGTGTCTCAGTCACGAGTTTAAACAAGAATTGGCGTAAGTGAAATTTACATATATGTCTTTATTTTGCTTGAATAATATATTAAATATTATTTTTACAGGACATTCCTTAAAAGTATAGCACGTAAAATAGCGCGTCTTCGACACAATGCTCCATTAAATATACCTGTCATTTTACAACTTGAACGACTAACAGTTTCTCAGTTAGTCGAATTTATTCATATTTGCAAAGAGAAGTATATGAGAGCTAAAATAGAACCAGGTACCGCTGTAGGTGCACTAGCTGCTCAAAGTATTGGAGAACCGGGTACTCAAATGACCTTGAAAACGTTTCATTTTGCTGGTGTAGCATCTATGAATATTACTCAGGGTGTACCACGTATTAAAGAAATTATTAATGCAAACCCCAAAATTAGTACTCCTATAATTACAGCAGCTTTGGTAAGTTGATTCTTCGCTTACCATTCAATCTGTACATGATAAATAATTATTTTAAATTATTTTTAATATTAGGTAAATGATGTGGACCCAGAATATGCTAGGAGAGTGAAAGGTAGAATTGAAAAAACTACTCTGGGAGAAGTTACCGAATATATTGAAGAAGTTTACCTTCCAGATGATTGTTTTTTACTAATAAAATTAGATATTGATAGAATAAAATTGTTAAAGTTAGAAGTAGACGTTAACTCGATTCGTTATGCGTAAGTATATGAATTTACATTTACAATTTACATATAATTTAATTTTAATAAATTTGTGCAGGATTTGTACATCAAAGTTAAAATTGAATCCAAAGTTAGTAAATGTAAGAGGAGATTCTATCATCACTGTGAGTCCTAATAAAAATAAGTACAGTATAAATTATGCACTCACACAATTGAAGGAAATGATCCCTAATATTGTTGTAAAGGTAAGATTTTTGTTTTTAATTGCGTACTTACATTTGTGTTGTAATTATTGCACTATTTGCAGGGTTTACCATCAGTTTCTAGAGCAGTTATTCATAATGATGATTCGACTGGAAAAATTAGGTACAAATTATTTGTTGAAGGAGATAATATGCGAGAAGTAATGGCAACTCATGGTGTCTTGGGTAAAAAGACAACTTCAAACAACACAATAGAGGTAAATAGAGAATTGAAATGAAAATATTTAATCAAAAACATATGCATATGTAATGTAATGTTTTAGGTTTTTAAAACTCTAGGAATTGAGGCTGCAAGAGCAACTATAATGACAGAAATTAAATTAGTAATGGAAAATCACGGAATGAGCATTGATCGAAGGCATCCGATGCTTGTGGCGGATCTGATGACTAGTAGAGGAGAAGTACTGGGTATTACGAGACAGGGTTTAGCAAAAATGAAAGAATCGGTGTTAAATTTAGCTTCGGTAGGATTTTTTTACATACTTTAGACATATTATTTTCAAATACAAATACCAATAGTTAATTATTTGTTAGTTTGAGAAAACAGCCGATCATCTGTTTGATGCAGCTTATTATGGGCAAAAAGATGTTATCTGTGGCGTGTCTGAATCAATTATAATGGGCATTCCAGTTCCGTTGGGAACAGGAATTTTCAAACTACTTCACAAATATCCTTTTCAAACTTATTTCGTTAAATTTAAAGAATCTTATATATTGCTCAATTCAAGTATTATTAATATTTTGAAAAACCTATTTTCCTTATTAATAAATACAGCTGACAAAGAGGAGCCACAAAAGAAGGAGTTGATTTTTGATGATCCACAGTATCATAAGAAGATTAAAAAAACTACAACGTGAATGTATGTAAATTAATTGTTATCTACTTTGTAATAAAATATTTAATGTATATAAATGAAAGAATAATGTATATTAATAAAATTAACATTTTATACTATATAGATTTTGTTTTCATTTAAATTAAAAATATACCTTTGATGAATAAAAATATATGTAAGTGAGTTATTGATAAATCATTTCTAGTTGCTAAGAAACAAATTGTTTGATCCATACATTAACTTATTGTGACGCAAACCGCTCAGAATGTAACATTACACCTTTCTAATTAATAAAAATTTTGGCACAACCTGTTTTATGTGATTGAAATTGTGTAATACATTTTGCAATAACCAATCACTTAAATATTTCAAATTTTAATAAGAAATAAGAACGTCGGAATGGTAAATGAAACGGAATTTTGGACCGAAATTCGAAAAGGCATACCAAAATATAAAAAAAGGAAACCGCGAGTTGTTCCAGCTTTCACTATTCAAACATTGCAGGTAAGAAATATTATAAATTGGTATTTAATTCACTTTACATTTATTGATAATTTGTTTAGGAAAATACTGTAGTTGAAAAACCTCCTCGATGTGGATTATACAAACCTCAACCACCAAAACCATCAACATTTAGAAAATTCTATGAATGGGGTGTATTTCCCATTTCCATGGAAAAAGATATTCATGGCCCAAAACTTAATTGGAAAGTTAACATTGAAGATCTAGATTTTCATCATTACTTACCACTGTTTTTTGACGGTTTAACAGAGACTGAAGAACCATATAAATTTATAATGGTGCATGGAATATCTGATATGTTAGAACAGGGTGGCCCAAAAATTTTACCTGTTGTACCACAACTGATAATTCCTATTAAAAGTAATTTTTAATCTTGGTCAAATAATTTCATAGTAAATTTGTATCTATATCCAGAACACGTTTATTACAGAAGCTCTAAACACAAAAATGCCGGAAATTATTTGTACAACATTGAGAGCAGTTCAGAAACTTGTACAATCTGCTGATTGTGTTGGAGAAGCTTTGGTACCATATTTTAGACAAATTTTACCCGTTCTTAATTTATTAAAGGACAGAAACGGTAAGATTTTAATTCACATTTATATTTTCAATTTGAAATAATCAAAATAATATTTAATATTTTAGTGAATCTTGGAGAAGGGATTGATTACTCACAACAAAGGGGTGAAAACGTTGGAGATTTAATTCAAGAAACTCTTGAAGTACTTGAAACATATGGAGGTGAAGATGCTTTCATAAATATCAAATATATGATTCCCACATATGAATCATGTATGATGAATTGAATTCCAGCTACTTATTGTCTAGAAGAATTACAACATCTATAATTTATATATAATTGCTATTTATAAATAATATTTAAAATATTACAAAATATGTAAAACATTGTAGAACTTAAATTGTTCATACATTACAGTCACATTTTATTTACACCTTCCCTGAATCCTCTTTCAATGTTACTGTCCGATTAAAAACAAGCTGTAATAAATGAAATAAATTAGCAAGGATGAAGTCGTACTTGGAGTTTTTTAATAATTACCTTTCCTGGCACTGTATCAGGATCTACAGAGAAAAAGCCAACACGTTCAAATTGAAATTTATTAAATGGCTTTGCTAAATTTGTTAAGCTTGTATCAACATATCCAACAACTTCTTTTTTACTAGCTGGATTAATATCGCTTAAGAAACCATTGGGAACTTCATGTGGATCTTCAGGATTCTTATGCTTAAATCTAATGACGATATATGTTAAAATTATTATATTAACAATACTGAATTGTTAATACTTACAGCCGGTCATATAATCTAATGGATGCTGGTACAGGATTGGACACCCAATGTATAAAAGCTTTAGGTTTATTAGCTTCAGAGATAGGTTCTTGTTCAACAATCAAATTTACAATATTACCATCACCATCTCTCACTATTTCTTTCATTCTTAATACCACTCCTATATATTTTAAGCCAACAGATTGATTTGGCGTTAAACGCCTAAAATCTTTTTCTGCTTTCTACAAATATAAAATTTTAATAAAATGATAGCAAACTATATTGCTAAAAAGAAACTATTATATGTACCTCTTTAAAATCAGAACTCTCGATATACACAATTTTATCAAAAGTAATTTCATGTTGTCCTCTTTCTGGTTCATTGGGAAAATCAGAAATACTTAATTTTATGGGATTTTCATGAGGAAAATTACTGATGGTTATTTTTATCGGGTCTAAAACGACCATATGTCGACTCGCAGTGAGGTTTAAAACATCTCTAACGCATGCTTCTAAAACAGCTGGATCAACAACTGCTTGAGCACCAGTTACACCCATTTGTGCACAGAAATTATTTATCGCTTCAGGTGGAAAACCTCGTCTACGCAGAGCTGTTAGTGTAAATAATCTGAAAAAATTTAATAAGTATTAAATTTTATGTTTTAAAATATGAATAACGCATAAATTATATTGGAACATACCTAGGATCATCCCAATCAGATAAAATGCCCTCTTCAATCAACTTATTGATTTTTCTCTTAGAAACAACTGCATAACTTACATTTAATCTACCATATTCCCATTGTACAGGACAATAAATATCTAAAGCATTACAAAGCCAATAATACGATGATCTTCGTGATTGAAATTCTTTTGTGCAAAGAGAATGAGTTATGTTTTCTATACTGTCACATAAACAATGAGTAAAATCATAAGTTGGGTAAATACACCACTGATCTCCTGTTCTTTGATGAGGAGAATATTTTATTCTATATGCAACAGGATCTTGTTTCCCCTCTTCTAATGTCACTTTCATACGTAATGTAGCTTCACCTTCTTCGAGCAATCCATCCTTCATATCCTATTATTAAAAAATTATAAAATGATATAAATAATAATTTTTTATATAATAATTTATTTGGTGAAAAACTAATTACATTAAATAATTGTAAATTTTCTGAGATAGGCCTGTCACGCCAAGGACTCGGAGGTGGATTAAAACCTTTTATTTCCTCGCTAGATTGATGACAAACATACGCTAACCCTTTCTTTATAAGCTGTACAGCCCATTCGTATAACTGTTGAAAGTAATCAGAAGAATGAGTGATTTTAGCAGGTTTATAACCGAGCCATTCCACCATTTTATGGATCCCAATGAAAAACTTCTCTTCTTCTTTTGCAGGATTTGTATCATCATAGCGTAAATAACACATGCCATCGTGAGCTGCAGCATATCTATGATAAAATTATTATTTAAAGTGATGAAATTAAAAACAAAACAATGCACTAAAAATGAGAAATATACCCAAAATTGATACTGATTGCTTTTGCATGACCAATATGTAAAATGCCATTAGGTTCTGGTGGAAACCTAGTGATCACTTTACCACCAGTTATTTTTAAATGTTCTTGAAGTAGTTTATGTGTGTTTGGTGTTACAATGTATCCTTCAGTTTTATAATTTTCTCCTGGCTTATGGAAATGAACTTTGGTCTTCATTAATTCACTTATTGTTTGAGCACCTACTATTTTCTCATTTGGTGCTGTATTTTTCTTCTCCACTAAAGAACAAAGTAATATATTATTTTCAATGAACAATTGATATTATATTAAATTAAACATACAATATACCTATCTCTTTCTCTACTTTTTTTGCTTTTGGTTGTTTTGTTGCTTTAGGAAGTGGAGCAAGATCAGAATCACATTTTGGACCTAATAAATCAAACAACTGAACATCAAATTCATTTTTTATTGCTTTTCCATCTGCCCATTTTAAAGTGTTACGTACTTGTTGCATTAATGGACCAACATTAAAGTGATATCTGCAAAATTCCATGAAATTTATCAAATACTTTAAACTATCCTAAAATTTTTAATTAATTGAGGACTATACCTTTTTTCTAATATTTCTGTTTTATGTGCATTTATAACTTTCTCCACTTTGCATTCAATTTCCTCTGGAGATACAACAACACCTACACCACATTCTTTTTCAAAATTAGGAATATCAATGTCCTTTTTTATATGACTGAGTAAATAATTTAGTGCAGCATCTACTCGTTGAGTTGTGTCCAACTTCTTTTCAACTATATATTTAGTAAGAAATGGCAATTTATCTGAAATTTGATTCTTTATTTTTGAAGCAAGATGGTACAACAAAATACCAGCTTCAGGTGAAATAATTCCATGCTTATTGGCCTAAAAATGTAATGCATATGATACAATCAAACAGAACAAAATGATATGCTTAACAAAATCTATTTTTATTTGAATCAAAAATAAAAGCAAGATTATTGAGAAAAGTTCTATAATGAAATTATAAAGAAAAGATTTTATTTGAAGCATTTCATTATTAGATATTGAATGAATGTACTAACCTCTGTTAGAGCAAGTTTTAAGTTATTGGAAACTTGTTTATTTTTTAGAGTTTCTTTGGCCTTTTGTTCACTCAGCCCAATAGACTGAAACAATTTTACATGATCTTCTGGTGTCATTGTAATAATATCTTCCTTTCTTTAATATTTAATTGAATCCAATTTTGAAGTCGGTAAATCAATTTTTAAATACGTGTCATTACGTGTATAAAATATGTAGGTTATGTTACTCTGAAGAAAAGAAGGGAAATCTTTTGGATTTTGAAAGTTACATAATCTATTTTATATAATAAAAGATTATATTTTGGTTTTATTATTTCTATTATAATAAATTACATATAGTATGCATGTATAGGTAAGATTAATGATATTTATTTATAAATATATGCATACAATATATATATGTATGTATAAAATCAATAAAAATGAGTGATAACTCTGATGATGATTTACAATTATGTCCTACAACACTTGCTGTGTTAAATGAATTTCTTAAGGAAAAGGAAGAAAGAGAAAAGCAATTAAAACATAATTTAGAATCCCAAACTTTAAACATTACTTTTGATGAAAATTGGGTAAGTTAATATTTATAAATGTTATACTATAATATAATATTTGTTCATTAATCTTACATTACTAATTATGTTTCTAATGCTACATTTATTTAAATGACAGCAACTAAGTCAGTTTTGGTATGATGAAGAGACAATAAATACTCTTGTGAAAGGTGCTATAAATTCTACAAAGCTTAATGAAAAAATTGCTTTAATATCTTGTCCCTCCCTTTATAGTGCATTAAAAAAGAATACAAGTGGACAACAAGGTACAATTGCATACCATTTTTAATTAATATTTTATATAACATGAAAAATGTTCTTATTAATATCAGTCTTTTATTAACAGTCACTCTTTTTGAATATGACGAACGTTTTAAAGTATTTGGGTCTGACTTTATTCCATACAACTATAAATTTCCTCTAGACATTGCTAGAGATATGTCAAATTCATATGATTTGGTCATAGCTGATCCACCATTTCTCTCTGATGAATGTTTAACAAAAACTGCAGTTACAATAAAATTTTTAGCCAAAAAAAAAATTGTGCTTTGTACAGGTATATTTAACAAGTTCAAATATTTCCTAAAACTTATTACTTAGGATTACTTAATTATTTCAACTCATTTTACAGGTGCTGTTATGAGTGAATTAGCAGGAAGATTGTTAAATGTTACAGTTTGTAATTTTATACCTCATCATAGAAATAATTTAGCAAATGAATTTTACTGTTATTCAAATTTCAATTTTGATGAGGCACTGAAATAAAGAAAAGAAAACATCTATGAAGTATTATTAACTACTGATTTAGCTAATTAATATATATATATAGGCTATACCAATGTTGGTATTTCAAGTAAAGTATTGACTTATTCATTTTTTAAGTCTCATTATTGTTAATTTATGGATTACAATTTTGAATTGTAATTTGAACATTGAAGAATGTTGGCAATACTGCTGTTCCAGTGAAATATTAAATTTGATGCCTAAATTTCTGAATTACTATGTTTAAATCCTATAATATCCACTGAACAATAAACTCTATTTTTGTATTAATATATTTTTTTCTGATGTGACAATTAGTAAAAGGGTCATAACGCAATTCAAATACAAAAGGCATTTGTTTTTTCTTTTTTCAATATCCAAATTCCCTAGTCGAAGAAAAAATAATCTCTAGATAAACATTTGTGAAAAGAAGACACGCGATGGAAAGCATAAATATTTACATTTCTTGAGTGTTTGTGAGAATAATTTTTATTTATAATCATGATAGACGGCAATATTTCCATGGAGGAGGATACCGAATTACGAGATTTAGTGGTACAAACCCTTGAGAATAATGGTGTCCTTGCAAAAGTGCGGGTATGATAAAAAAATGTTTAAAATATCACACGTTTTCTGCAGGTTATATAGATCACGTCAGACTTTTCCTTTACCAAAATTTTCATTTACTTTCCCATTTGATTTGTTTTGGTCTAAGATATTTTATAATGTTACAGGCAGAACTCAGGGCAAGTGTGTTTTTAGCTCTAGAAGAACAGGAATCAGTTATGGTATGTCAAAATACTTTAGAATGGTATACAAAATTTCATTAAACAGTTTTCACATATGTTTGTTCATACAAATATTTTGTAACAATTTTGAAAGAGAAAATCATAATAGTTGAATGTAAGAAGTAAAGTATCATTATATTTCAGAATCCGGAACCACTTCTCAATAAAACTGTAAAGCAGTACCTGGCTAATTCAGAAGGAAAATTGTTGTTTTCCTTAGTTAGGGAGTTCCTAGAATATTTTGGTCTTGATTATACAATATCTGTATATGATCCAGAAACCTACTTTGGAAAAGAATATAATTATGTTGGAAGAAATAAGCTATGTGAAGAATTAGGTATTGAATCTAATGAGCCATTACTTGGAGAAATTTTAAAGAATAGCATGAACAGTGCCTTTAATAATACACAAAAGGTATCTATATTTATAATGTCTATAATCTTATTTTTGTTGCAACATCTAATTATGAATACATTATTCTTTACCAATCATGAATATAATTACAGAATGAAACTAATGATAGCAGATTTAACAAAACAGATGAAACTGCTGCAAATAATGCTAATGCAACGTTTGACATTTCCATTCCAAAAGTATTACATACTGAAACTGAATCATTATCAAATGATAATGATGTTTCAGATAAAATAGAGAGTGTTTCGCAACAAAGCCCAAAAGTTCCGATAAATGTGACAATAACGGATAAAAAAAATGAGGAAACATCGATCGATGTCTCGACTGACGAATCAAATTGTGAAAAACTAAACGATCATCTCAGGAATAGTACAACTTCGGAATACAATGAGAAGAATAGCGGAATTGATAACAAAGGGAACAATAATATACATTTTGATACTCTCCCTACAAGTCAAAATGGCACAAGTATAGTGATGAATCATATAGAAAAGGAGACTGAATTAAACACATCCATCCAAACAAATTTACTAAATAAAACCGAGCCTTTAATTAAGTTTGATGAATCTATAGTTACTGAAGTGCAAACAAATCAAAATGAGAATATAAGTAAGCAAAATAATATAAATAGTTTGGAACTACAAATAGCGAATAATGTACAAAATAAAAAGTCAGTTAATACTGGAAGCAGTTTTGGCAAAACTGTATACTTTGATGAAATTATTGTTGATGGAAAGAAAGAAAATATCAATGATATATGTAACACAGAAACCTTTTTACAAGATTTACCGTCGTTAGATAAAAAACCTCATTCTATACTTAGTGATCTCCCACCATTGAATGGTAAAAAAACTAATATTAGTGATCTGAAAGAATTGATGGATATCGGACTTGGTATGTGAGAGACTAATGTAGTTATAATTAATTAAAATTAATTTTTCAATTAAGATCCACATAATACCGCTATGCAATTTTTAGGAACTGATGGTACAGATAACTATGAAGAAGATTTTGTTTCATCTGCATCTGGTAGTGCTTATGATCAAAGTCCTTCTAAAGACAATGAAAAAACAGATAGCCTAATAAAATTACAAACAAAAGATCAGGATAAAATTCAGAGTGTCCATAGCGAGGATATAAGTGAAGAAATCGAAGATATGGATGATATACTCAGCAGTACATCATGTGTGAGTAAATTTAGCATGAACTGAGATCTCTTTAATATTTTTCGTAAATTTTCAACACTCCATGTGTAATTCTATTCTAGCTTGAGGATATAAATATGGATAAAAATATATTAAGTTTTGCAACGGGTATCACGGCAAATTGTGCGAAAGAACTATAACTATAAATTACATCATTACAGAGTTTCTGTAAGAGCTTTAAGATGCTATTTCTTTAACAGAATTGAAATTTGATATCCTATAATAGGGCAACAAGTATATTAATGCAAATTGCTGTGAATTCATGAATTTGCAGAATTTATTTTGGTTTCTGACATGGCACTGCCATTTATGGCTCAATACTTATAAGTTTCCATATAAGGAACGTAGAAGGAAAATGTCTGAACATATATTTATCAGCGGTTATATTTTTCGTACTTTATAGCACGTTTCTTGATAGAAACATATTTTTATAAATGGTAAATTTTATTTTAGCAGTATTTAAAAGTGACAGTCTTTACATACTTAATAGATTTAATATTGTGTTTTTAACTCTTTTATGAAAATTTTATAAAAGTTTTATGGAAAGAAACCAAGCACTGTAAAATAAATTAAACTGCCATTGTTCTCTACAGAAAGATATTTATAAAGTTTTTTAATAATTTAAAGTGAAAAAGATCTGAAAGTTTCAAGAAAAATTTTGCATCAAAGCATAAATTATATGTATATTATTAAGCATTGTAAGCATCACTTTGTGAATTAGAGAATAGTTATTTAAGCATCAAAAAATTGCATTACATAAAAATTGGAGAATAACATTTAATCAAGTTAAATACTTAATGTTTCAATTTGGAATACGTAAATGCATTTTTCTGTTAACAGTTCTATGGTGTATTGTTAACAAAATTATAATATTAAGATTTTTTTACTATAACCATTTTCAGACAAACCGCCTTCTACGTTATTCTATAAATACGCCTAGTATTATTACTATTAAAGCCAATTATCTCAATGTTAACATACTTTAAGAAGCGAAAAATTGATCAGTTGAATTAATTGTTGTTGAACACTTAGTTATATTTTTCACAAAATTTTTTACCATTATGTTGTGTTTATTAGAAATGATTCCTGTGTCTGATTTTACGACTGAAACGTCATTAATTACCTCATTTAACTAATGTTACTGGTATAGTATTGATAGCAATATCAATAAATCATCCGTCTAAAAATGGATTGCCTAAAAAATGCATCAAATTATTTTTTTCAAAGACAATGGTGCTAAATGCATAAATTTAAAGTTACTTATAAAGGTTGAAGTTACTCAATGGAAATTAGGTGCTAGTTTTTTTCTTGCATCTAAAATTTGTAATACTTAAAGAACTAATGCATTAACTGCAATAAACTAAGTAATTCAGTTTTATTTTTTGGGCAATCCAGTACCTTGATAAACATATTAATATAATATTACTATGTCCCATATAAGATGCAATAACTAAGTACAATTCACAATGAATCAACTGGATGCTTGACAAATCAAAATCTGTAACAAATGTACAGCCTGCTTCTTTCACAAAACTTTTTAGTAGCACATAAATAATGTAATATCAATAGGAAATACTGTAAATGATTCAAACAAAGAAATTTCATAGTCTAGCAACATTTTCTGATATTTTAACTAAGAAGATAATTCTTATTCATAAATTTTACTATGCAAAATATTTTTTGCAATAACTGATTAGTAATTTCCAATTTTAGTCATAATAATAATAATGTTGTGTTTAATACAGCAGGATTGTATTTATTTAGTATTCATAAAATATCATTTTTTACTTTATACTTATTTTTAAATTATAATTTTTGCAAAATCATTTGTTTATTTAAATCATTGAATACATTATCAGTGAAGTAAAAGAAATGACAGAATTTGGAATTTTTGCTTATGTAGCATCAATTATATACCTAGAGTGATGAAATCACTTAGTTTGAATCAACTTTTATCTCTGTGTATATATTAAAGCAGGTGTGTTCCTGACCAATCAACGTGGTTACATTTTAGCACCAATATAATATATAATTTTTTAAAGCAATTTCAGGATAATACTGAACATTCCTAAACTTTATAGAATGTAAAACATAGATACATTCCATTGTTATTAAGATTATTGCATTTTTGTTGTATTGTTAGCATTAGCAGAAAATTTAAACAATAAGTATTTTTCATGGTAAAATATGAGCGCGCACGAGAGAGAGAGAGAGAGAGAGAAAGAGAATAATTTAACAAACGTTTTACAACTATCATGATACATTAATAAATTTTATTTTACATTTTTATAAAGCTAGAAAGTGTTTCTGTAAGCATTTCCATTGCAAGGTATACATACATTTTTATACGAAAATTGTTTCAAAAATAGATTGCAACCAATCCTAAGTTGCTTGATATATAATTCTGTGTACATTTTATCAGATACAGAAGTCTTGTTACATATATACATATTTTTTGTTTAAAAATATGTAAAATGTACATACACAATATGTTATAAGTATGAAACTTTTTATCTTATATGCCAAACATATAAGTAAATGCAGTACAAAAAAAGTTGGGAATATATTTTTTCAGATCAGAAAGGTTAACAAATTTGTTTTTTGATATAGATATATATATCTTTAAAACTGTTTTTATAGTAAGAAAGATACCATTAATGACTAATAACATCAATTTGTTATGTTACAAAAATGTCTGTATTAATCTGTACATATACACATAATGAATGGCATTTGATTTGTTGGTATTCAATTTAATCATAGATTTTGCAAATGCTGGTATAAAATAGTTATAATTATTGTTATTTACTAATTTATAATACCAGATCGAATGGATGAAGTATTAATGAATTACTCACAATATTTTTTCATACAGCCCTAGAAATTTACTTTTGTAACCACGTTGAAATATTGGTAGCTATATTGTGCCTTTTAGTGTGTACGAATAAAAAACAATGCAAATGCATACTATGGAATTGCGGGATTTACAGAACACCTAAGTTACTTATTTATGATTTTGAAGTATGATGTAATGATATTCATGTATATGTTATTTATTTTATAAAGATTTTTCTCTTTTGCAAACGTATTGTTATTTCTAACTACCCTCTTATTAATCCTAGATAATTACTACACAGATAATACGTAAGACACAGACTATAAATTTTTATTTATTATATAATACTAAGATTTTACAAATGCATAAGACAGTAGTTTTATTACATTTTACATTTAAATGCTATACATTTATTTTTCAACTGAAATTAGTTTTAACTAACTTCAATGTCAATCTTAATTAACATTGTTATATACAAAATTACATGGTATTTATAAATGACAGGTATGTTATGATAAATATATTGCAATTAGTTTTGCTTAACATTTTTTGGAAAACAGCTGATATATAACTGCAAGATATACAACAAAAAACAATTTATTTAAGAATTTCCACTGTTACATTTTATTAAATTCTCTTTGTACTCGAGCACTGTATGTTTTTAATACAAGATTATAACTTTCCATATATCGGTCCATACACATTGCTACACATTTCTGTAAGTAAATTAAAATGACTTATACTTTTACATTAATGTTAACTAATGCTCATATTTTAAAGCATCGTTATCACACTCCTATTACATTTAAATAGTATATCAAAATGCGGAAAAAAATTAGAAATTTTCATATTCACATAACATTAGAAAATAAAGAAACAAACTTTTAAAGGCAACTTAAACATAAGAAAGGTTAAATTTTAGTGAGGTTAACTTTTACAACTGAGAAAGATTACCTGTTCGGAACTATCCAGCGAGGTACCAGGTTTGACTACACACTTTTTGAAGCATTTCTCTGTCATTTTCTGAAAATATAAAACCAAATACTCGTCGTTCATTCATTTTAATGTTGTAAAAGAAAAAAATAAATGTATGTCGGTCACCCTACCGAGAGTAACTCATGTGTATTTGCAATAGCAACTTCTTGCTTAATTTGTTGTATAAGATCACTTTTCTCTTTATCTGATAAAGATTCGGACGTAAGGGAATTCATTGTTACGGGTGAATGTTAAATCTTTCTTTTCAATGCTAATAAAGTCAATAGTACTTTGCACCATTAATGATCCTAACCAATCCTAACCACCCAATCTGACCATATCTTAACCGGTTCGATAAACCGGAAGCACGTGAAGCTGCGTTATAAAACACGGTTTACAATGAAAGTCAATGAAAACCAGAGAACAATTATTAAGGGTGTTTTTAAATTGTAGGTTGCACATACTGACAATATTGGTAACCATGATCCTCGTTAGAGAATGATAGAGAATGGAGAAGGAACGATGTGAGGAATATATTTTAAAAATAACTTTCACAAAAGAAATATATTGTTAATAATAAGTATTATAGTACTTAACACAATATTTGGTGCGATACTACTATCATAGGACACTTGTAACACGCCGAGAGTTCGAGGCGTATGTAACTGAATTATAAACTGATTTTTGAGCACGCATTGCGTTGCGCTTCTGCGCATGCGCGATAAATTTAAAGGTAAATTTAAATTCAAATAAATGAACAACATTAATACTAACGATATGCAAATGGAAATTCATATCAAATCTCGAAATAAAGTTCTTTCTGAATTACAACAAGCATATACGAAGAATTTATATCACAACAGATCCAATACAGGTTGTTCAATAATTATAAAATATCAATTACTTTATATATAAAAGAATTTATACACTATAATAATGTTTTCTCAAATTATAATACAGATAGCTCAACGTGCAATGTGTCGAAAAATAACGAAGAGATATGTTCACCTGTTGTCGACGATCTTTTAATGGAAATGAACAGTAGGGGATTAAGGAATTTTGAGGAAAATAATAACACGGATTGTTATCGATGCAAGCACTTTTCTAATATACCACCAAATTTTTCCGAAATTTATGATAAAATATCAGATTGCGTGGAGGAGTATGAAGCTGATTTAAATTTCGTGCAAGCTATAGTTTGGTTAAAATCAGCTACGTCATGTATGAAAGACGTTTCTGTTGAACAATTTCATTTGATATTTCATAAACAATGGAGTAATAATTTAGATACGGGTAATAAAAATATTTAGTAAAACTTCGAAATTAAATCAAACTTTAATTCCAAATAATTCAATATTAAAAATTATCTGTAGGAAGTGATTCCGAGAATGAACAATCTCAAGAGCATGATTTCGAAAGTTTGAATTCAACCATTCTGCTTAATGATGATGAAGAGGATGACCCAATTTTCAACAACGATTTGGAATACACTAGCAGCATCGAATTATTGTGCAATATAAGATTAAAAAGAAATCGTGATCTGTCGCAATTTGATAATCAGCAGCAATCAAAAGAACATAACAAAATCTTTACTGGAATCGTTAACGCTTCATCCACTTTTAACTCTTCTGAAGGCTTTAGTTTTGAAAAGTCCTTCACTACTAAGAAGACGCCAATTTTAAAAAATTGCGTTATTCCCGATTCCGACGAGACATATTCATCCAGTTCAGACATGTTCAAAGATTCTTTAGACAATGAAGATAATATTAATGCAGAATGCAATAGAGAAAATAAAGAATTGCTTGAAGAAGATGATTTTATCGAAGAATTATTATCAACATCACAGGATAGTAATCTCTTGCAAAAAACTTTTTTAGAAACGAAATATGATTATATTATTACTCCAAAAGAAGATGTCTTTTCTTCAGCATCGGATAGTACTTTCTTTGATGAAATTTCTGGACGTATTTCAGAATTGTATAAAAAAATAGATATACAACAGTCGCAAGCGTCTGTTTCGAATTTGCATAATGAAAATTCTTCACTTTCCTTGAATATGATAGATAATGATACTGATCCACAAAAAGATAACGACGATACGCCTCAGCTGATCGCAGAAGACACAACCGAAGGGGTCGATATTATTACTCCTTATCAAACTGACAGTGCTTACGATACGTACGATTTCGAAATTCCTCTTACGTACATAATTTCTGATCAAAATAGATTGCTTAGCTTATCTTCTCATCACAAAAGCGACGAGAGTATAAATCGGATTAACGTAAATTACTATGTAAATGATACTCCACCAAGTTCAGAGAATAAATATTTACAAAAAGAAACAGAAACGATTAACGACGACGAAGGTAATGGTAAGAAGAGAAAATTAGAAACTGCATATGAAACGCCAAAGAAGAAGAAATTTCTTAAGGGAAACGAAGAAAAGATTTCTTCTAAGTGGCTAAGGTTTACACTGGATACTTTAAATGCGGATGAAGTAGCTTTCCAATCAGTGAAAGTAATTCTTTCAGCTTTGCAAAATGAGAAGTTAGCCAGGCACTATATGAGAAAAAAATGTTGGAAGAAGACTTTGGAAGAAGAGGCTGTAAACGCGGTATTGAATTTCTGTGATGTTTTTGAAGCTGAAAGTAAAACTGTTGCTTACACACAGGAAATAGTACAAGCAGTTACAAGCACGCTAGATAAATGTATAGGAAATACTGAATTGAACATGGTAAATCATATATTAATTAAAAATTAATTTCGCCCAAATATGTTTCTTTTATTAAAGAATATTTTCTTCTGTTTAGGTCACAATATTTACTTATCAAATATCTATTATTTTAGAATTATGTAATTCTGCGAAAGTCTGTATCGAGACAATAAATTATTTAATCAACAAACTAAAATCGTATGAATGTATATTAACGACTCTGATGAGTGGAAAGAAAGCTGATGTACACACCACAATAAATCAATTGCATATTATATTTTATGCTCTGACTATTTGTTTGCAAAAATACCGATTGATTTTCCCGAAAGAACAGGACAGTCAATTCGAAGAGGAAATTGTACCATCCGTTATTGATCTATGGAAAAAACAATTAACGTTCGAGGATGCAATGATAGAGGATAAAGCGAAAACAAGAGAACGAAGATGGTTAATAATTTTAGATGATTTTATGGTGATCTCTGTTGAAAATTGTAGCCAATTTATTGATAAGTTACGGATATTAATAAATTTAGTCACACGTGACTAATTAATGATACTTTTAATTATAATTTATTTACTGTACATAGCTTCCCCTAACGTATGTATGATATAAATAAATTTTAATAAATTGGATTGTTATAACAATTATTGAGATTTCAATTACTGAGATTAATTTGTTGCGAGACTTGCCTTTAAAAAATGGGATTCATTAAAGTATAAATAAGGTGATTATTAATAACAGACTAATTAAAACCATTCTTAATTCATGCGTTGCAGATCTACCGAATATTGTATTATCTATTATTACTAATTCGTCCTGCTCATGTGAATCAATCTTCTTCCAATGACACAATATATTTTCATTTTCTGGTAATACATCAAATACTGAATTTAAAAATACTTTTAATGGACAGATTTCTGTGCAATTCGGTATTGTCAAGGGTATAGTATCATCTTCTACTCCTGTATAATAATTAATCTGAAATGATGATATTTTTAATCTTTCAGTGGTATATCTGAGACTTTGTACAATTTGAAGTTTCCTTAATAGTAGAGACATACCTTTATTCCATGACTCTCTGTTTCATTATCAAAATACATTTCGAAAATGACGGATGCAGCCTCGTTAGGAATATGAGGTGACCAAAGATTCAAACTCTTCAAGATCCCAATGATATTTCTCTCGTTACCGCTGTAAATCATGAGCTTCCTCTCCTTCGGTATCTTTCCACGAATATACAACAATGAATTCGTTAAAATTTCTTTCAAGAACGTCCCTCCGTTTAATTGCCTTTGCAGAGGAGTCTGCGAAAGAAGATCCTGCTCCAACAAGGACACGTTATACATCCCTCCGTGAGGGAAGATGTCCTTCGCCCAATATGGAAGAGATTGATTCAGATCAGCCTGTCATCAATATTCAATTAAATTAATCAATTCCCAATGAAAACTTGCATTTCATTACAATTTCTTAACCAGAACTCGAGACTCTGAATCAGAGCCGGCCCTGAGATTTCCGAGGTCCGAGGCTATAAAAAAGACTCTCTTCACGTGATATAAAAAAAGAAGCCCAAATAAAATTGATAAAATTAACATTAACTAATTTAGATTTCCATTTACATCGATTAATATTCAATTAAACTACTCTTCTTGCACCCTTAGACGCAAAATCGTTTTATGAAGCCCATGGACCATGGGGTGTCTTAGGCGACCGCCTAGTCTCCCAGGGCCAGCCCTGCTATCAATGAAATAAAAATTACCATCACAAATGTATCATACTTGAGTTTCAAGAACAGCATACAATAAAGCAACTTCGGACGGATGTTGAATTTTCATTCCGGTATTCCGAGAAAGAAGCTTGAACAGAGTTGAATATTCCTTCATCATTGCCCGCGCTTGATCCGAGTTCAAAATTTTCCTCGTTTCGGAAACGAAACTTGGACAGTGCATACCGAGCAACAAAGTATCTTTGCGCATGGACACGTAATCTAAGAGGGATTATCGAGCAATAGTGAACGTTCATCGCGTTATCTTCGCGAATTTTAATTACTGACCTGTCGGTATCGGCTGCCAGTCTATATCGCTGTTCCATTTTTGGATCTCCGCCGGGGGCCAAAGACCAGCGTTCACTAATTGGCCGGACATCATCGATAGCGGATAATCAGCCGTTTGCATTTTCATCGTCTCTTGCTTGTATACGTCGCCCAAAAATTCATTGTACCTCTCGCGTAAATGAACGCCTAGGTTGTACATATTGAGCATACCAGACTGTGGAGTAAAATATATAGAAATTTCATATTTTCCAAATCACGAATTTCGAAATTTCAAAGTATAGATTAATCAGATTTTTAAATCGAAAAATTGTAATCGAACGTACGACGCTTGCACGTCGCTGTATAGCGTCAAAATCTTTAACGACATCCTCGCAATTAATTAATCCCTTGAAAATAAACTTACATTCGGCATGCTGATCGGGGCGGTGGTAAAATGGTCGTAAGTTAATCTCCTCGGTAAATTCGTCTCGTTGTTGCTTATCAAGCCCAAAATTGGAGCGTACGTTTTATGAGCGAACACCTGAAAGCTTTATTTGTTATTCGTCACGTTCAAACACCGAACAATTCAAAATTGTCTGCAACACTTACGATTTGTAATAACTGCAATTCTGGGATACACTCGACCACTGCGAAAGCGCGTAATAGGCATATTACGTACAGTGTCGTTTTCATTTCGAAGAGTCTTATCTTTAAGATGCAACAACGAGAACCTTATGTAACAGAAATTTATTCGAAATGAAAATTTTGAAAAATTTGAAACGGTTAAAAGGGACCGGAACCGAACTTCCGATCTCTACCGTATTATACTATAAAAATATTTAATAATATAATTATATTATTATATATAATAATTATATAATAGTAATTATAATTAATCTTTTTAATACTCTGATTACTATTCCTTCGAACGAGAAGCAATGCAACGGACTAACGAAGACGACACTTCCAAAATCCCAGGTAACTGCATCCCAGTGTCTTCTTCTCAGTGCGACGATAACAATCATATAAAGTATTCCCTCTGGTGTGTACCAGTGTTCGTGATGTTTAAATTAATCGGCAACCTTCGTGTGAAATCGTTGCTTTTATCAAAGGTAGCGATCTACCGTGCTTTGTATAGGTAATACGCAAGCTATCAGTTCGTCACCACTATACACTCTCCGTAATCAAAAGATCACGGATCTTATAAAATGCTTCTGAAAGCGTTCTCTCCCGAGATCGTTTAGGCAGGCGAAGCTCTGGGAACCCGGGAAGACATCGCACTCTGGGTAAGATCACCTGAATCCATTCGTTGATTCTTTCATAACGATTGGTATCATACGAATTAGGGTGTTTTTTAGAATAGATTGAACGTCTTCGGGGTGACTTTTATTTGTTAAGAAATTTATAAGAAATATTTGAAATATTTTTTAAGAATGTGGGACAGATATTTGTTAAAAAATTTATATGAAATATTTGAAATATATTTTAAGAATGTGGGATCCATTTTTGAAAAAAGTATAAAATACCATTCTTTTTTCAATTTTAATTGAAGAAAAAAGTCATATTGCTGAAAAGAACAGGAAGTTTTCGAGAAGAGAATCTGAAATGGAACGTGTCATTATATTATCGTATATGTTTATTTTACTTATCAAATTCTTGTTTTCCTCAAGTATGATCCATAAAAATGCATAACAACTCGTTTCAAAGGTTTAGGTGAAAAAAATATTTAATAGAAACAAGCATAGTAATGATAAACGATTTTTTCCTTTACACAGTAGAATGGGATTTATTATAAAAATAAAACGTATATCAGATAATGGTTTATAATTAAAAATATTTTACAAACGTGATCGAGTGATGATCGAGATAAATCGGTCGTGTGCAATTCGTGGAACCAGTCGGTATCTTTCAATCTTAACAATTAATTTTTTTATAAACGATTTCGATGTATAACGCTTTACATCATCGTTCTATTCATTGTATCAAGTACTAATTCTAATCATAAAATGAGCCATCGTGTGGTTTGTATTAAGGATGTTTGATATCTTTTGAAACTAGGTCCCTTTTAGATATGAGAAAGCGACTTCGAAACGTATCAATTCAACCACAATTTCATGACATAAAAGTATCACAAAATATTAAATGCAATATATTAATTTAAAGCTTACAATATAATAAAAATGACTATATAAAAAATCTATCAATATTCTTAATATGAAATGATTGGAACATAAAAAATTGCAAATTGATTGATTCATTATTTGTTGAAATAAAAAATTACTTAATTTTCTTTAATAAAACGCTTGGACTGGCAGTTCGTGATACTTTATCATCAGACTTCAAATGCTCCGAAATCTATCACTGCGTATGTAAGAACTGATAATAATAATAATTTTTCAGCAAAATTCATAAAAAGCTTATTTAGTTATAAACTGACATAATACATTAAACCCATGGATTTTCAAATGTTCTAATCCCTCCAGGAGAAAGGCACTGATATGGAAATTGTTTTGCACAGATAGTATCAGAAGGATTAATTTGCTAATCCTTAATCCAACTTTTACAAATTAATTTCACGAATAGGAGCGTGAGCCTATCAATTGAAGGAAACTCGTGCATCTTATCAATGACGAAATTTCAAGCTTAAACCTCTTCTTTTGTTCACGTGATCGAACTCACCGCCACGTGCTGAGCACGCACCGAACGTTTTTCCTTGAACAATAGATACTTTAATATTTCTGATTAATATTTCTGCATAATTGTGCTGTGTGGTAAAAATGTAGTTTACTTATCTTTTTACTACATCAAACAAGAAATTAATTGATTCACTTCGACGAATGATAAAGGTCACTTGATCGGTCTTCAAGCAATTATTCTAAAATATTTGTCATATTCCCATTTATGTCGTTTAATTATCGTTTATGTACGATTATTCAGCCATTGCATAGACCCTCGAGTGGTATTTATCTTTCGTAAATAAATCTTTTCTTTGATTCTGAGTATTCTTCAATAGTAGATTTATCAATCAGTTAACTTCTTTCAAGTGGTATTAATCTTTTGTACAGGGATCTGTTTTTCTTATCATTCTATTTTTTAATAGTAGATTTATTAATCAGTTCAAGTCATTGTTTTCAGGTTTTTCATTTGATATTACAAAATTTATTTCTTTTATTGAGATATTGACTATTAATCCTGTATTGATTGGTATTCAATTCGTATAATAATAATGTTTATTCATTCTTATCGTACTGAGTTAGATGAAAGTGGAATAGTTTCCGCTTAATAATTTGACAATTGCATCCCGAATTGCATGTCAAATAATTGTTGAGATAATACCTGATACGATACAAAGAAAATATTTAAGTTTATACCTGATAACGCGAACCTCACAATGTCTGTTACTGACAAATACCTCCCTCGTCGATATACAAATACACGTGAAATTACACATTTGCAAATACTTTAACAGGTGACGACCGTATGGCTGTAGTTTGTTATGGGTAGATACGGCCAAGCCGAATGGAAGATATTATACGAAACATTTATTTAGGTTCGATATCGTATAGAGCTAATGTCCTGATCAATCGTAAATTATCGATCATATCGGAATAATGTATTATTCGTTGGTCGTTCATTATTCAATGGTATTACATAATAGCAAACAGGTGAAAAACGTAGAAGCAGACTAAGTTTTCTTATAAATTCTCGTCTTATCATTGAGCAATCTTTCGTGTGGCGAGCATCGTTTGCATAGAGTAACAGATTTTACGGTTTAACGATTTGACCAATCACCTGGCTGCAATTACGAGACTATATACTTTTCCATCCTTATAAAGAAGCGTGAAACCGGCAAGCATGCTTCGAAACTCGCTGAAACGAATCGACGGAAATTTATTAATTTTTCCGCGAAATCGACCGTAATATGTAAGTTTCCAGCTTCCTTTTTATAATCCACCTCGCGAATAAATAGTAGTGACAAGAGAATTTCGAAGATAGGTGAAGAAAAATTTGGAGGTAATTCAGTTTTGGTATAATTCATTATATCTATCATTTAAATTTAAATAATAGTTTCCTTTACGTCGAAGAATAATTATGTTTATGCAAAATTTCTTCTTTTACTTAGAATATAATTGCATTTTCGAATATTCAAAAACGAAAGGTAGATCATCTTGAGATAAAAAGGAATGACCTTTGGGTAAATGCATTTTGCAAGGAAAATATTCAGAATGATTAAGGTAAATGGGACACCCCGTATAATGCACATGTTATTTGTAAAGAAGTATAATGTAATGTGTTGTGCAGTGCAATAAACTCCAATAACACGTATTTCCATGTTGGTTAGATTATACAATTGACTAAGCAATTAAATACAAAATAAATTAGAAAATTATACTTTCAAAAAAGTTATAAGAAACAATAAAAAAACAATTACTGAAAATTTTGTTTTCATATTCTTAAGTAATATTTAATTTATTTTAGAAATTCTAAATATTCTTTTTATTGACTCATCAGACTCCTTTCATTAAATAATATTATACAAATTACATGGTACTGAAATACATTAATTGCATAAATGGAATATCAATTATCGAATCATCAATGTTACTGGAATAATGACACGACTAATAAAGTACATTCGCGGTCAGGTCTGGTTTCCCCAAGGAAAATGATGATGCCCCTGGTTCTCACCCTTTGCCATAGGCAACCCGGGTGCAACTGACGCTGTAGCGAAAGGGGTCCCCTATATATAGGCCTGTGGCGGACCACCGCGCTAACGCGGGAAAATTTGAATTGACATCTATTTATTATACCGAATTTTATAATATTTAATAACTGAAAATTAAATTATTTTAATATTAATATTGTCAAAATTAAGATTTTGAGAACTCCTGCTTTTCCTGTAGAAGGAAATATTAAGGAAGAGGAAATTTCTCCCGGAAATAGTACTCCCCCCGAACTGTAGTCATATAATAACCGGAATAATCACTGCTTTTCGTGGAAACGGCGTCATCGACCGAACGAACAATCGTCATCGTAATCAAAAACCCTCGAACAATTTTCCTTATCATTTACGTTATGAAAGGCCGTATACGCGCGATCCACCAAGGTTTCAAATGGGGACTTCCATTTGTTGTATCATTATTCTAATGATACAAAAACCGACGATTGAGAAACCATTCCACGGAAACCATGCTCGTTTGACGTGTTACTCTCCTTTAAAATCATTTGCACATAGGCAACATGGCCAGTGTTTCATTGGATGGTCTCACAATCGACGCTTCAGCATTATTAATTGTCTGACAACACAGTAAAACAACGATATCGTAAGTGAACTGTGAAAAAATAAGAAAGAATTAACTACATAATCATAATACTAAAGAATATAGTACAGATTCTTCAATATCTTACGTTCCTTCGATTAATTTCATCTTTTCTCATATTCAGAGAGTTCGAAATTGTTTTATAGTTTTCAAAATTTCATATTTTATATTTTTATAATATTTCAAAAAATTTCATTCATCCAATTTACGAAATTGATTTCGTAATATTCATTACCAATTATCTGTTAGATTTGAATAACCATAGAAATTTATGATAACAATTTTCTTATTAAAAATGCAAGAAGATTGTATGATTAGCGTCGGTAGCATCGTGCAAAATCTATTGCCCCGCGTCCTATGCAAATGAAAATCTTCGTTTGCATAAAACTGTACTTGATCGTGACAACCAGTGTTTTATGGTGCATTTACGGCTACAATTTACAACACCTTATGTTCCGCCGACAATTATTACACGTTCAGCACCCGAAGCTGTCATAAGCAAATAATTTCGAAACATAATTAATTAATCTGAACGAAGTCAGTTGTTGGATTTCTTAACCCATTAATTAATTTAAATAGATGGTTAACACGTGCGCTGTCGTTCACTTGATATGTGAATGTAAGGCCTATAATACTTACAACACTATAAATATTTACTTATAAGACTAAGCGGATCAAAGTGTGTAATTGGGCTCGGTGATAAAGTGACAGCTTTGGAAAGAAAGGGTCACGAGTTCTCAAATCCTGTGTTACGTAAAAATAGTAATTAGACATCGTGAATGGGTTAATTGAAATATGTGTATATATACTTTTCTTCTCTATTTAATTAATTAATTAACAGTGTTGTTTGTTATGTTTTCAGGACAACATGATCTCGTTCAACGATCGTACCTTGTTAACGTGTGCCATCATTGGTCTAACTGCGATCATTTGTGTGGCAACTGTTGAAGCAGAACTTGAAGTAGTAAGCGTGGTAAGAAAACACGGTTTATTTATATTGTGTGCACGTACTTTGTAATCGTCAAGCGGGTAACTTAGCATATATGATTGACTATCATATGGGGAGATCGGTATCTCAAATTTTTAATATAATTAAAATTGAACAATCAATGAAAAGAGTATGTGACAAGTGATTTTTTAAAACTTAAAAAAATCTCACCTGATGCAAAATACGTACGTAACAAGCCTTAGATTCTAATACATAATCCACACAATTTCACAGTTATTTAGACACGGTGATAGAACGCCAGATGACAGTAACGATGAAAAGTACCCAAACGACCCATACCTGGACTACGATTTCTATCCAATGGGTCGTGGTCAATTAACCAACGTGAGTAATTTTCTTAATATATTCATATTTAGTTATTTTTAACCGACCAATTAAATTTCATAACGTACAGTGTTCCATAATTTTAATTACAAAATTGATTTAATAATTATTTGGTTTACCTGAAAATTATTAAAATATAAATTAATCGAACATTAATTATCACTCGGTTATCAGGGAATTGTTCATCGATTGTTTAAAAATAATAAAACAAAAGCAATTTATGATAGAATAAATATTTCTCGAATTTCAGCAAGGTAAACGACGGGAGTATACTCTGGGCAGATTTCTGCGAATGAAATACGGAAGATTTTTGAAAGATCTTTATACACAAGAAACCGTCATTGGTGTTAGTTCTGAATACGATAGAACGAAAATGTCATTGCAATTGGTTCTGGCGGGTCTTTTTCCACCGAACAGGGAACAAAAATGGAATCTGATGTTAAATTGGCAACCAATCCCTACTAATTACATACGCCGATATGAGGACAACCTTTTTCTTCCAGAGGATTGTCCCTTGTAAGTGTGAAGCTAATAAACAAATTTTAAGTGGAAAATTCTAAGGAGACTGAAAATATAGCATTATCGTAGCGTGTTCATAACTATACAATTTTCTTTTCCTTCGTAACAATACCTATCTTAATTATGCTATTAACCATCCGCGGTTCATTTATTCTACATAACAAAACTGATAACGAATTCAGCTTACTTGGCATGAATACAACAGACACCACACGAACATAATAGAATGCGAGGAATTCTAAAAAAACGAGAATGATAAAGCTAGTTAACACTAGAATAATCCACTTCATCGAAACGATGGATTTCAAGTTAATGAACTTATTATTGCGTTACAAGATTTTCTTATTATTGAAATATTACTTTACAGATAATCTATATAAATTTATCGAAAAATTACATTTTTTGTTCAATAACGGTGTCTTTTTATTTGTAGATATGCAAATGAGTACGATAGAGTGCTAGAATCACCCGAAGGACGGAAAGCACTTTCCAAGTACAGTGATTTGATGAAAAATTTAACCGAGTGGAGTGGAAAAAATATATCTACACCATGGGATATGTATTACTTATACCATACGTTAATGGCTGAATATTCCATGGACCTCACATTGCCAGATTGGGCTTACACGGTATTTCCAAATGGCGATTTGTGGAATGGAACTGTATTCGCGTACGATGCTGCCAGTTTCACTCCTTTATTGAGAAGGATCAATGGAGGTGAGATTATTTCTTTAATTAAAAAATTTAATTAATTTCTATTATTGCCACTTCAAATTATTTCCCTTATTTTTCACCCCACTTTTTAAATTATATTCACGATTTTTATATGTCACATTCAGGGGCGTATCTCCGAGAGGTCACGAAAACAATGTTGAATTTTATAACCGATAGAGTGGAGAACGAACGAAAGATGTATCTGTACAGTGGACACGAAAGTAACGTTGCTGCTGTAATGCAATCTCTTCGAGTATACTATCCTCATGTTCCTGAATATTCCAGTGCCCTGATATTGGAACTTCATAAAATAGATAACGAATACTACGTGAAGGTACGTAACACGTATCAATATATTAGTTCTATATGTGTTTTCTCATTCAAAAAGACAGATCTGTCATAATAAAATTAATGATAGAATTTAAATGAAAAAATAAGTCGAAAATGTAGAGCAACATTTTTTCATAAAAGGCCTAATTTTTAAATTATACAATTTTAAAAATTCTATATTTTAAAAAGAAAAACCCGTGAAACAAGTGGCGCCATCTACGGTTTATTGCTCGAAACGAGCTTTTTGATTTTGCCAATAGGGAGCACAAAATATAAATTCTTGGTTCTCATTATCGATACCAGGGGGCGCTAAAAAGGCGCCATTGCGGTCTTTTTAAAATATCTGCGCAAAGCGGGTATGTACTTTAACTTTTTAATTATAATTACAGATTCTTAATTACCTTGGCATCCCGTCAAAGATTATAGAACTTCAAATTCCTGGATGCGAGAAATTGTGTCCTTTCGACAAATACTTAGAGTTGATGGAGGATGTACTTCCATCAGACGATGAAATTATATGCAATAAGGGCATCACCAAAGATTATGCTAATTACAAGTCCAACGAGGAACTTGATTTAACGAAGTACAACCTAATTAGAACGGCAAAGGCGTTCAAACTTGATTAATTGATAAATTATAAAAATGCAAATATACAAAAATACACAATCAACCTGTTTTATGTATAAAAAGGTATACATAATTAATCAAGTATATAATAAGTGTATTTATGTAATGCAATTATTGATACTTATAATGTTTTGCATGAAAGATGTTTAACACCTGTGAATTAAATTTAATGAAATATCGAAATTTATTTAAATTTCCAAATGATAACTGTTCACGTTGTGTGATTTGTATTTATACGGTTTACAGTACTTAACGCGGATTGCTTTAATTAATTTATTTATTTTTTAATGAAAGTAGCAGTCAATATATTTGTACTTTCTTCTTCTGCCGGGAAAGTGTGCAATATTCATTATTTATATTTATGAAATAATCTTATATAAATGTAACAAACATGAAGCTTTAAATAATTGTTTAATATTAAGATTTCTGCATTTATTAATTAAGTTTAAGTAAATGTTACAAAAATGTATAAAAATTATTGTGATATCGTTGAAATAAATTAATATTTCATATTTAAAAGCTATTTTAGTTGTTTATGTTACTACAAGTATAATTTATATTTATTACAGTAATACTGAAAATAACAATATGTATGTAAATTAGGAATTATGTTGCTGTAATTGCAGCATAATTCGGTCAATGCTACCTCCACGAAGGTCTTTTAAACTTTCGAATAAAATATAATGTAATAAAAAGACACTTACGGACGAATATCATTTCTGTAATTGATATTTTGATTAAAAGAATGAGTGAGAATTCGATTAATTTGAGACCACTGGCTTTGGAAATCTTCAATTATATTTTTATCAAATTTGATTGATTACAAGAGGTTAGTGACTCGGTTACAATTTAGATTACTCTTTTAGAATTTTTTAAAGTTCTAAAATTTAAAAATTTTAAACATACTTAAAAATATCTAGTAGTCTAAAGAAAAACCGTCACTGAGTGACTGATTGTACAAGATTCAATTACATTATGAAATAGTTCGTCTCATCAAGGCTAAACGATGACGAGCCTTTTCCCACATTAATCTTCTTCGTTTCTATTATTCATGATTTAATCTGACTTCTTCCCTGACATAGTCGAAATGATTTGACCACCGTCTTATTCATCGCCGTCGCGTTGAAACGTGACATTTCAACAGCAATATCATTTACAAAAATCTGTGTTTCGTGAATTGTCTTATCGTTGTAACGTGTTTAAACTTTTTTTTATACATTGAAGCACATGACGTAGAAGCAACGAGGATACTTGACATACATGAGTGTGAACAGTTTGAACTCGTTCCTCTGCGAAACAGGTGAGTCTCTGCGTTTTTTCAGCTAATCTTTTTATTCTAATATTATAAGCTTGACAATTCAATTTGTTATTTTTTTAAATTGTTTCTTTTAAATATTTATCAAAGTATTTTGAGAAAATATGTTACCAAGGTTTGATTGAAAAATTATCATCATCCTAGTAAATTAATTTTTAATAATTTTGTCTGCACGTTCTGTGAATATAAATTATCAATTTTTTCAGTGAAAATCTTTATAAAAATTGTTATACGATAATAATTGCAATACTTTTTTAAAATAAAACTTGAAAATTTGATTGTTTGAGATTAATTATTTATGTTATCAAATACATCTGGCTTAATTTCAGAAATACAAATATGTGGCTATTGAAAATCATTATCTATCTGTTTTATATTCACTTATCTATCGCAGAATTGAAACTTGTACAAACAGTATTTAGACATGGACATAGAACACCTACCAATGGTACCACGATATATCCAAATGATCCTTATGTTAATCTAACATACGAACCAGATGAATATGGAGCTTTAACGAATGTATGTTAAATTAAATTAAATAAATTTCAAAAGGAAATACAAAATCTTTAACGAATTTTTCTGAAATACAGAAGGGCAAAATGACAGCATACAAGCTTGGAGAATACTTCCGAGAACGGTACGGCGAATTTTTAGGACCACTTTACTCAAAACAAGATATTCAGTTTTATTCCAGCGATGTTGATCGAGTCATAATGACTACAGAATTGGTGGCAGCTGCATTATATCCTCCAGTTGGAGAACAAAGGTAATAACGACGTGGTATAAGACATTTCTAAATATCTTTCCGCTTTCCGATCATCCTGTACAATGACTCATTGTCAATCCTTTGATTTGATAGCATATCAATGAAATGTTTACAATACAAATTGTATTATCACTACGAAATGCGTTTAAGTAACTCTATTATTTTGTTGAACAAATTGATTTCAACATTATTTGATTTATTTCGTCTTATTTACAGTTATCATATTTTTTCCGCATTTCTTTTTAAACTATTATTAATGGATCTTTTTGATTTGCAACAGGTGGAATCATCATTTAAACTGGCAACCTGTACCAGTATGGCCACTGCAATCACATAACAATATGTATGGCGCGATATTTTGCAAAAATTTTAAACAATTGTCGTCGGCAATTCAGGCGACGGATCCAGATATAAAACGTTATATAGAAAAAAATAAGGATGTTTATAAGTATCTGAGTTATTATGCAGGGAGTAACATTACACAAGATAAAGTATTCAAGTTGCGTCAAATATTGTTTGCAGAGGTAAGTAATATTTTTGAACAAAAATTGCAATAATAGTAATTATAGTAAAGCAGCTAGAAACATAATGCATCTACTTATTTATATATTCAACAATACTTTGGTTGATAAATGACTTTACGTACACGTGTAGCACTAAAAACTGATAATCCTTATTTATCTTTAAACATATTTTCTTTTTTTTTTAATGCAGAAACATTGTATAATGTTATCATATTTAGATAATGATAATTAGTATATAAATGATTAATATTTTCAGAGAGATATTGGCTTAGAATTGCCTGAATGGACAAAGTTAGTATTCCCAAATGGAAAACTAGACGAACTTGCTGTATTTAATATTCTTATTCAAACCCGTACTACGAAATTAAAACAATTATCAGGTGGTAAGTTCATTTACTGAAGTTATTATTTTTATGAAAAAAGGATAGGATTAGTTACTTATCCCAGTAGGAAAATAAGAAATGAACGCCTACATCCCCACCCTTACACGTGACGCGCTGAAGCGATACTGATTGAAAGCGGGAGCGTTGGCGCCTGTACACTTCTGTCAAGGTGCGCGCGCAGCCTGAGGCATGCGCACAGGCGCCAGCGTTCCACGCTTTTAATCAGTACCGCCTCAGAGCGCCACGTGTTAACATGGGAGTATACAACGCTCTCGCTTCTTATTTCCCTACTGCCATCAATGTCTCACAATTAATATCTCAGTATTTACAGTAAGTTATCTTATTACTAATGAGCATGGAATCTAACAGGTACATGGATCAAAGTATTGTTAGAGAATATTGATAACTATTTAAACAAAAAGGATACTAAGAAAGCATTTATGTACGGTGGTCACGAGATGAATATTGCTTTTATTCTTGCGGTACTTGATAATTTTGATAACCAAATTCCACATTACTGTAGCACTATTATATTCGAATTACACGAAGACAATAATGAATATTATGTACAGGTAATAATGTAATTATATATAAAAATTATTTAGGTGATATTAGATAGGAAAGATACAGATAATGTTTTGTCATATTATAATTTTATTCGAATTAATGTTTGTTAAAATTTTGACGGATTACACTTATTTTTAACAGCTATTTCATAAGGATAAAGATGACGTCCGAACGTTGAAAATACCTGGATGCGATGACAAAATGTGTCCATTGGATACTTTTAGAAAGGTTGTAGAACCTATAATCCCCGAAGATGTGGTGGCATTATGTGGAAATGGAGATTCAAATTAATAGAGTTAAATGGGTATTAAATGGTTTAATTTGTATTTAAAATTGTCTTCAGCCCCTAAATAGAAATTTTATCTATAATCTGTCCAACGAGACACAGGGTCAGCGCAAAGTTGTTTACAGTTTTCAAACATTTCGTTCGATGTCTATTGTGTACAATGAGTCAGGCCTGAGGCGAGTACGTAAATTTGTAAACACTTACTGACTCGTTATATATAAATATAATGAATAAATATGGAGTCCCCTTTCCTATTATTCGTTCAATGAAAAACCCTATGACTATTTCGCTATTAATAATATATCATTACAAAAGACAACATCTGTGATTTTTGTTATCTTCATGAATCTTTTCAAATAAAGTGTTGCCAACCCCGTTCCTTAAAATTGCTTTCACTCGTTGTTGTCGGTCTGACGGTAGCCATTACTTTTGCTTACTTCAGTATAGTAAATGCTTCAATGTAAATAAACTGAAGCCTAGAAATTATATTGGAATATGAAGTTTTCGATATAAATTGAAATTGAATTGGTACATACCACAGTAATTTATAGGTGTGAATATATTTTCTTACAAATTTATATTACTATTATACGTTATTATTTACTTATAAATAATCAACTCTTTTTAGATTAAGCTATTGAAGAATTGTATAGTTATCATTATCGTTTAAAATGGAAATTATTGAGCTTGTCTCAGATGATGAAACGCAGGGGGATAAAGTAAAAAGAAGTAGTGGTTCCAAAATTTGTAAAAGTAATTGTATAAACTTTCAATGCTCCTCTGGGATGGATATGAAGTCTGCACCTTCGTTTGCATGTGCTTTTTATGGAGTGAATGCAGAAAAGAAGAAAGAGCGCAAAATTTGTAAAAAATGTTTTGATGCCGCGTTAGATCATCAAAAGGTATAATTTTCAAAATATATGTTTTGATATTCATATCATACTTCCACCTGTATGTAACATTAACTTTTTAAAATGAATAATTATATTCAATATTTATGATAATTTTGGTAGCAATTAGTATCAGCTTTTGTGGATCATAAACCATTATTAAAATGTGAATTTCCTGATCATACAATGGAAGTAGAAATTTCTGATAGTGATGATTCAGATGATGAAAAAAAGAAAGACACATATACCGAAGGTAGAACTAAAATCTTATTATATTACATTAATTATAATAATACATTCAATATATCTAAAAAGTAGTATTTTGTATTTCAGAAAAATATTTACCAGAAGAAATGCTTCTAAATATGGAGGAAATGTTAGATAATACATTAACAAATATTTTTACAAAATATGATGTTGACTATCAAATCAAGGAAGCGCACACAATGTTAGATGATCAGTGGAATAAAATAAATGGTATATAACTAGTTTACAAGTTATGTTATACATAGTCATATGTATATAAAATCATATGTTATAATTGTTTACAACAGAGGAAAATGAAGTTCTGGATAAAACAGTTAAAGATTTAATGGGTACTATGGATATATTGCGTAATAGGTTATATGACGAATTTAGACCACAAATTCAAATGCTTCAAGAACTTCAGATAGAGGACGAATATGTGGATAATAACCTTTATCCATTAGTAGCAACAAAAAGAGTTACACAAATGCGATTCCCATCTGCTGTATTACTACAAGACAGTCAACCTGAAATTCTACCAATTGAACAAGAACACAAACAAGTAGCGGCTGTGAATTTACCTCCAATGGGTGTACTTGTAAAACGACCAATAGATGTAGATAGCACTGTGTACATTATGAAGCATCCACTCATGCCTTGGGTCAAAGGAAAAGTAATTAAATTTTTTCTTCAAATATTTTAATATGTAATGATTAAATAATATTCGATATGTTATCTATTAGGTACAAACTGTAATTTCAAGGAGTCCTTGCCAATATCGCGTAAAATTGTTGCAAAAAAAGTATAATTCTGTTATTAAGTCCGTAGTTGGTAGGCAAATTGCAGTTGCTGCAATCAGTTCGGTACTAATTCCAGTTGGTACACGAGTAGTTGCAATATTTCAAGATGTTTCATCTAGCAATTTTTATAGCGGAGTTATAGCTGAGCCACCGAAAGCTATAAACAAATATAGGTGTTTATTTCATATAAAATTTCAAATATATATATAACTTATTAACGATAATATTACATGGATATTTTACCTCCAGATACTTGGTATTTTTTGATGATGGATACGCTCAGTATGTTGAACATAGACACATTTATTTAGTTGCCGAATCTTCTTCGAAAGTTTGGGAAGATATACCTAATGAATCTCGAGATTTTGTGAAAAAGTATATTCAAACGTATCCCGAAAGGCCGATGGTAAAGTTACAGAAAGGGCAAGTAGTAAAAACAGAATGGAATGGTAAATGGTGGGTTGCAAGGGTAGTTCAAGTTGATGCGAGTTTAGTGCAAATGCATTTTGATGCTGATGGTAGAACAGAATGGATTTATAGAGGTTCTGCTAGATTAGGCCCTTTATACCTTGAACTTCTAAAAGCCAATGCCAGGCAGCAAGGACATCATGCATCTGTTAATACACCAAGTCGACATCGACTTCCTGCTATCTCTAATGTACATAAAACACTTGTTTATTTCTTGTATCGAATTTTCGCAAGGGTATATTTAGTAATATGAATCCATTAATATTTTAGAAAAGTAATTTACCTTATGTGGAATATACATCTGATATGGAACATGAAGAGGGAAGAATTGCTGAGACAGGAAAAGAACAAAATGAAACAAACGAAACTTCAACCACGTTCACCTCGAGTGCACCACAGCAATCGCGTGCTGTTGCTAGAAAAAGTACTAGTAAGAGGCAAACTGTTACAGATACAAATACGTATAATCCAACTACAGAAACGAAACCTTCGCACAGCATAGTTGTAAGTTTCCCAAGAAAATTAAAAAAAAAAAAACAATTAAAGTATTCTTATGTTAACGCTATGACTTTATTTTAGTATTATCAAACGCAGAACAAAATTCAAACAAAAAAATTCGTTCCGCACAAATGTGGTCCTCAGTGTGTTCAAGGTATATCCTTTACACCTGACGACTTAAGAGGATATTCACCTCTCTCGATACCATTACTCTGTGGGTGGAATCGGCAACTTTGTAAATATCCGAAAGGCAAAAAGATTACGTTATATCAAGCACCGTGTGGTGTTAGATTACGGAATATGGAGGAACTGCATCAGTACCTTCGTAGAACAGGTAGTCCAATGTCGGTTGATTTGTTTGATTTCGATTATTGGGTACATTGTTTGGCGGAGTTTGTATTGGATAAATGTTTTATTAACATAAAGGTAAATAGAATAGTAATAAGTTGGAATAAATGATGTTTTGTAACTGAACTCTATACTTTAAATTTAAGGATCTTAGTTATGGTGTAGAAAATGTACCAATACCATGTGTCAATGAATTAGATCACACTCAACCAGACACTATTAGATACAGTACACAAAGAGAGCCAACAGAAGGAGTTAATCTTAATTTAGATCCAAATTTTCTATGTAGCTGTGATTGTGAAGATGATTGTCAAGTATGTTTAATTATCACATGCAACATTTGGTGTGTTAAATATTAGCGTGATAATTAATGTTATGGTATCTGTAATGATGTAAAGCATCTTCATTGTTTTATAGGACAAAACAAAATGTCAGTGTTGGCAATTAACGATACAAGGTGCAACGCTTGGAGGAAGAGTACCAAACACGTCTGTTGGTTACGTGTATAAACGGTTACCGGAACCAGTGACTACTGGAATTTATGAATGTAATTCAGGATGTAAATGTGCTGTAAAAACTTGTTTAAACAGAGTAGTGCAACATCCATTGACCCTAAAATTACAAGTATTTAAAACGGCTCCACGAGGTTGGGGTATACGTTGCTTGAACGATATTCCTCTTGGATCTTTTATTTGTATATATGCTGGTAGATTGCTTACAGAACAGGTATTTGATTAACTTACAGAACAGGTATAAAATCTACTTATAATTGAAAAGATGATATTTAATAATATTAATCTCGTATTATAGGGAGCCAATGAAGGTGGTAAAAATTATGGAGATGAATATCTTGCAGAATTGGATTACGTTGAAGTAGTAGAAGGAATTAAGGAAGGTTATGAGAGCGATGTCCTTGAACCGGAAATGCCGGTGTCTACTTCAGAAAAAAATAAATCCGCGACAAGTGACGATGAAGATAATTCAAAAAACAATACTAATGATTCGGACGAAGATTTCAATATTAGTAAATACGTGAATTTTGATGTAGATTCTACGGAATCTTCTTCTATTAGGTAGATAAACAGATCTGAACAATTATTAAGTAATGTAATTTGTACTAATATAAATATAATATAACACAGAAAAAGGCTTCGAAAACGAAAACGTGACGAAAACAATCAAGACGTGTCAGAAGAAAATAGCGAGGACGGAAGTGGTACAAGGACTTCTGACAGTAGTACAAAGTTGTCTGCCAATGAAAATCGTTTAAATGATCAAGAAGCAATCACTATTAGTGACGAAGAAGAAACCAGAAGTGGTAGACGAGAACCAAGTAGATTTGAACCAACAGTGGAACCAACCCAAATAGAAAGACCTAAATTTAAATCTGTAAGAGACTTCTTTGGGGAAGATGAGGCTGTTTATATAATGGATGCTAAAACAACTGGAAATATTGGCCGTTATTTAAATGTAAGTAAAAGATATTTTTTAGATGAATAAACGTAATTAAAATGATTTTATCTTGTTCCTCTAGCATTCGTGCGATCCAAATGTTTTTGTACAAAATGTGTTTGTTGACACACATGATCTGAGGTTTCCGTGGGTAGCATTTTTCGCATTAAATTATATACGAGCGGGTCAGGAATTAACATGGAATTATAGTTACGATGTTGGAAGTATACCGGGTAAAGTTATCATATGTAAGTGTGGTGCATCTAATTGTAGAGGTCGACTTTTATAATGTGTAAGTAGTATCTATAATTATTAATAAAATTAGGATTTATAAATTTTTTTAAAAGTTTCTTCTATACTATCAAATTGCATAATGGATGAAATGAAATATTTGTGTATTATTAAAAGGTATGTTGTGGTTAGTGTGCAACATAAATTCAATAAATGAATTATTTCAATTCTTTATTTTTTTATTATTGATTAAAATATATGGTAGTTTACAAAATGAAATAGATCTAATGGACCTAGGAATGTTATAAATTTTATCGCATTTTACAAAACGTAATATTTCTTTTCCCGAAATACTTTTATTATGTTATTACAATATCTTATATAGCTATAGAGAACATAAAATTTATGCAGATCTGTATTTTATACCTATCAAAAGTAATACAGTCTTTGTATTTTTTAATAATTGACATTGGATAAATAAATTTTGGCGTATAAAATTTATTAATAATATTTTGTAAACTCTATTAATATATTGCAATCGATGTTGAGTAATAAATAAAAGATAAATATGGGTTCAATAAAATACAACCATGTACATAACAATGATACACTGGCTTATTATTTTTGATTATTGTACACCTTTAAAACCTCTTGAGACATGTTGGGTAATTAGTACCATAAAGATAAGTTTTTTAATCTCCTTCTATAATTTACACATGTCTTTTTGAAACTCACTTAAATTATGTGAATATATCTTATAGCTCTTTTTTTTTCACAAAAATATTAAATTAAAGCAAAATCATGGCTTTAGTATGTAGATTAGTAAAAAAAATGTATAAAAGGAATTCGTAACATTTATAAATTAATAACAAACATTTAAAATACGATGCTGCTTCTTACAAATGTATCAAAATATCTTTTGCTATATAATATTACATGCTTTAAAAATAAATTTGTTTCTGTTAATTTTTCAAAATAATCTGTACGATGTACTATTTTAAAGCTGAAATTATATATACTTTAAATCTCTAAGAATAATCATGTAAGAATATGAGTTTATGATTATACACTCCAGATGTGCAATATATTATTATAAAACTACATGTGTACCTACGTTTTTTTTTAAATTTAAAGTGCATAAATATGATAGTCTAGCCATATGCAAAAAATTAAGAGAAAGCAATGGTGATACTCCTATGAGGAACATTAAAATACTAAAATAACAAAAATCATTGCTTGAATTTCATTTGGTTTTGTGCTAGTGCAGTTTAAGCAGTTGTTTAATCTCATCTTTTTCGGCAGCATCTAAATAACTGATTCCCTCCGGTGTTAATCCGTCTGGTTTAGCTCCTTTTTCTAATAATAATTTTACACAATTTGTATGGCCCTCCCAAATTGCTGCTAATAATATTGTTATTCCATGTTTGTCTGTAGCCTGAAAATAAATATGTTTTTATGTATATTAATATAAATCAACTGTATTGATTTTAATATTTATAAAACATGTATTTACATTTGCATTTGCACCCTTTTCCAACAGATATCTAACTACTTCACTTTGGCCATAATCAGCTGCATAATGTAATGGTGTCCTTCCATCGATCATTTGATTAACATCGATATTCTATCAACAAAAATATATGTATATTTTAGTACATACTTACTTTTATGAAAAGTATGCACCGAATTTAAAAAAAATATATATAGACTAGTTTTAAACTATTAATTTAACCGGCCAACAATTATTTTTCATGTGTAGTGAAGTGTATAATATTTAAATAGAGAATAACAACAAAATCCATAAAGATAGGTAGATTTATAATATTTTTGATTAACGACAATCGGCAAGCGACAGAAGGATAAGATAAGTTAAAGTCATATATTTGCCTTATTTTCAATGATATCTCGCACTTGCTCCAAATCACCGATTTTTATTCCCCACACCAGTTCACTCATTTTCGTTGTAGTTTATTTGGAAATATTAAGCGTAATAAACACTTTGATTAAATCCACGTTTATTCTAATCAGTTCGCGTTCGTACTTACATCCATTAGACTAAATAGCAAATTTTGCTGGAATCATTTTTCCATGTTGCCAACATATAACGATATAAAATGAAAATCTTCAGCAGTACCAACATACGAACAAAGATAACAATTGAATTTTTTGTAAACATTTTCCAATAAAAAAGAAGTAATAGTTTCCAAATACTAAATAATTATTATTCCAGTAATAATCTTCATTTTACAATATGGTAACATAGCAGTGACGGCGTTATCGAAGAAATATGTCGATTCTTTTTATATTATAAATTATGTATATAAGTACACTTGTTTTGAATTCAAATACAGAAAATGGTTGCAATCGTTAAGTTATAAAGGAAGGAGGTGTGAAATAAAAGGTATACAATATTGATATCGTTGAATTAAATAGGTATTAATTTACTCACATATAATTACAGTCACACATGTTTTTTTACATTACATACGCAGAACCTTCTACTGTCGGAGAAAGAAACGGAAAAAAATTAGTTTTCTACTACTATAAAAAAGTGCAATTACAGAATGAACAGGAGCATCTGACTCTTGTTTTTAAGACTAGGAGACCGAAGAAACTGAGGGTTGATGCCGAATCATTAACGCTAACGATGTACCGCGTATTAACGACAACGCTTCCGTTAACCTTACATTTGTCTACGTGGAATGTTGTAATTTTTATATTATCGTATAGAAATTCTAAGTGATACAGAAATTATATACAGCGTATAATTTTAATCTCGCATGAATTGCATTGAAGGGTAACAGGAAGTTGCAGTGTGGCCTGTTGGTGAGGAAATAATACGCACCGATGTGCGACGTTGAAAGCAATACATACTTATTTCGTAGGCAAAGGTAATTAACATTTGTTTCAATTAATTCTCTTCAATTGCAACTATTTTTTCAAACCGAAGTAAGTTTTTTTCGTTTTTTGTTTTTTTTTTTTTTTTTTCTTCAGAGTACCATACGAGCGACCAGTAAATCATCAATTATTTCGACGACAGAAAAATTACAGATCGAAGATGTCGGCGTAAACGATTTCAATTTCCATTTAATTTAACAGTCTCGATTTCTGCTGTTTAATCGATCGTTCAAATTGATTTTGCAGAGGCCACGTTCCACGTTTGAAAGTTAAGCTTTCGCTGGGGCCGCTTCCGGTGTCTTCTCGGTTTCTACGATTTCCGTGGGCGGCGGCAGAGTTGGGATATCCGGGTATTCGAGTTTCGCGCCGTCCTCGCATTCGAAGACAGGACAGCAATCGGGGAAAGTGGCGGTCTTGTTGGTCTTGTCCGAAAGTTTGCATTTAGGATTCGCCTTTGGGAGGGGTCCACAGTCTTCAACGAGCTCGAACAGACGTCCTGAATTGTCATCGGCTGGCACGCACGTGGAACGGCCGCAGAACGGAGTCAGGTCCCATGATTTTGTTGGTTCAATAGTAGCGCATCTTGTAGACGCGAAGCACATACCAGGGAAATCTGCAAGAAAATATTCATTTATGCTTTTTGTTTTTTAGGTAGCCTTAAGGAATGCAGGATATACACTCTGCCCCAAAAGTATTCGTCCACCGTTTAAAACAGAATACCTCGTTTAAAATTCTGCCAAATGACTTCAGGTTTCTCGAGAAGCTATACAAATTAATTTACTAAGATATGTGCCTTTGTCGTTTTAAAAAATTAAAATTTGCCGAAATCGGAAAAGAAATATTAAAAGGCAATTTTTCTACTTTTTTATATGAGCCTATAATGAAAATTTAAAATATATCTTTGGTAAATTCAAATAAGTTATGTTTAGGCTGAAAATTTCATCGAGATCGGTCGATGCACTTAGAAGTTATAAGTAATTAAAATTTCCAAAAATCGCGACTTTTCATCTAAGAACGGAACTAGTCACGATTTCGGTAAATTTTAATTTTTTAAAACGTCAAAGGTACATATTTTAGTTAATTAATTTGTATTTTCGTCCAATTTTAAACGAGGTATTTTGTTTTAAACGGTGGACGAATACTTTTGCGGCAGGGTGTACATATAAGACTTTTATAGTTTTAGACTAATTATTTTATACCTCGCGGTTTACAGAACACGAGTTTCCGAATTACATAAATAAGATTACATAAAGTAGGTATCGGATTAATATGTTGCGTTAACTGGAACGTTAGATTTTGTTACATAACGTAACATTGCTTTATGCAACAAAGCCCCTTGCGAACGGTCTTTCTTTTAAGGAAAGGTATTCGTATCGCTTAATTAGATGGACGGTAATAACAGGTGTCTTCTACCCGGAATGGTTTAAAATCAGATCTTTCAACAACAACTGGTATAACCGAGTTTTCTGTATAATTAAATATAATAATTGTTAATTATAGGGTATAGACGGAAACGTAGAGTTACACTTAGGTTTTCTAAAAAATAAAGTAGAAGCAAACATTTTCTGGATGTGGAGAGTTAACTTAAAGTAAGAGATATCAATAAAAAAAAATATCATAAAAATCGAAACAATAGATCTATTGTATTGAAAGAATGCGTGCCGAAGTATTTTCTGTTCCAGATGAATCATCAACGGATTTTCACCGTTTATCGCAGTGATGTAAAGGTAAAACCTCATCCTATATGGCCAGCCAATCGTGTAGATTGCATTTCTTCAACAATCACATCATTGTTAGCGTGCACGATGCGTGGAGAAGGGTATTATGTAGTTACTTGTACATTCGTGAAAGGTGTCGTTACTTTCTAACATGCAACTATTCTAACGAATGTTGTTGCGCCTTTCAACTCATGCGGATGCATAATGTCATTCTATTGCAACGGTGTTGATACATCGCAGACAGGATAGAGGAGTTTCGTTGGCGTTGGTCGAGTTAGAAATTTCAAGGAGAAACACTTTCACTGTCACACTGTCTCTTGTGTAATTATCACATGCTCTAAACTGATTATTGTAAAGTGACTCACCTATTTGTTTAGATAATACTTAATAGATTTTGATAGAACAATAATTGTACAAAATAGACATTCAATATGGTAGACTGAATATTCGAACTTGAAATGATGAAACAAAAAATTGCATCACTGTTCTGTTTATTAACAAGTAGGTGAATCGCTGTAATTCGTTTCCTTTTATTCTTTGAATTGTTTTAAACAGTGTAGAGTATAAAAGGAGTCGATAATTGTACAGAGCATTTGCAAAAAGTGTAGTCAAAGGAAAGGAGGGAGAACACTGTGTGCCCTAGAGTGTAGCACTGATTGCCTTCTAGGAACGTGATTTATTTAAACAGTGACGTGATCGTTACGATTTTCTCAATGCCAGCGTTGTCACACCGAAGGTTTAACAGGATAGCCGTTCACGCCAACGTTAAAACGTGCCATGGTTTGTGGCACCGGTTTTTTATGGACGATTGGATCTCAAGAAAGTGGTCCGTGTATCGGTTGATCGTATCAGATGTTTAATAGAACATTCGAGACCAATGACGTTTAGTATTTCAAAATAATCAGTATTAACACGTTCGCTGTTGGACGACTAATATTAATACGTTAAGGTGGTCTTTTTCTTTTATCTGATAGATATATTAAATGATTGCAAATTTAATGCTCTAGGTGGCAAATTAACTTTACATTAGACGTATGCAACATTGCGAAAGTGTAAGCAGGAAGTTTCACTTTCCCTCTTATCGAACACATTCTTACTTTTTGCATAAAATAAAAAAAAGCGAACTTGTACTATCGAACGCGATTAACGTTAATTAATAGATAGTGTTCTCTTTGTACGATAATTATGAAAAAACTTACTCTCGAGAGGAGAAAGGAGATATTTCACGATTTACCGTGCAATTTCGTTAATAATGTTGAGTTACGAGAAAATTTCATGCGATTTGCACGGTAAAAGGTGATTGTTTTTTGAACGATAACGTATTAAATTCTCTCTACTTTTTTTATCGTATTGCGAACACTATCTGAAAAGTATAAAGCGAACCAATAAAGTAAATGGATTGTAATTTTTAGAGGAAGGTCTATCGTTTTTGAGTAGATAGATTTGCATGTACATATGTACCATACTACACTCGAGTATTTTCAAGAAATAAGACCTTTTGTCTTTTCATTGTATTCGTCGTCCTCGCATCTTGTTTGTCATGTTATTCATCGTACCGTGACACGCTTTCGACAAGCGGATTTTGTTTATTATTTCTCATTGTAAAGACAATTGCTCCTGGCGAGAGGTGTGTTCAACGGTTCGTAGATCCTGAATCACCGTTACGTTATAATAATTAGTCAGACACACGAACAGGAGAACAGGATACGGTAGTGGGTTGCACCGAGACGAGCAGGATCGCGTGAAAGTTTTCACGGTGCTCGTTCCTCTTGAGTCAAGAGTCTTGACCATATCCTGCAACCTGATTCATTTCGTTTTCTCGCCCGACAACTTCTCTTTATAAGGCACACGAGAAGCTTCAGCCTCAAGGTGAAACACCATTTGCGAAACACACCTCTCGCTTGCATGACAAACAGTTTAACTGTATCTTGTTGCATTCATTTATTTACATTGAAAGGGTTTTGTCGAGCAAAATTAACACTTTCGCCAGGCACACATTCGAATGTTCATGGTATTAAAAAAATTGTTTCAGAATTGAGATTCAAGCGTCCATTGCTATTGGAATTAAAATTATTCTATATATAATTAGTGATAATAATAGCAAAAGAGCTGTAATTATGTGCATGTAAGGGAAATAGGAAGCAAATTAGCGCCTTGATCAGACTCTTTTTTAAAAGCGATTAAATCGTTGATTCACTCGATAATGTGGATCGTTCCAACATCATGGCCCAGATGCTTCGTATTTTTCGCATTGGACCTACATTCCAATAGATAATTGAATTGCTCATGACAACCTAGTTGCCTTAAAAGACAAAATTATATACATTAGGGACGATCTCGAATAAGGATAATGAAACTAGATCATCTTACGAAATTTTGGATTGAAGAGAACACCTCTGGGCAGTTATCCCTTCTTTCATAATAGATTGACAGTGCTGTCTACTTGTATGCATCACTGGATTGATTAATTAATTGTAAAACAATAAGTCAAGAAAG